AGATGGGGAGGAGGGAGAGGAGGGAGAAGGGGGGAGGGCCGGGGAGTGCAGGGAGGGAGGGAGGAATGGTGAGGACACAGTGAGCGGAGACAGGAGGAGAAGGAGGAAATGGGGAGAGGGAAGGGGAAGAGAGGAGGGAGGAGCCCTCTACCCAGCATGCACAGGACAACTTTCACCTGTATGGGGACAGTCTCTCTGCTCTCTAGAACCTGGTAAGTGACACCTGATGAGTCACAGGCTCTGCAAGTCCCCTGACCTGTCCCCTGGCATGCTCCATAAGCTCACTGCAGAATCCACCGGTGACAGGACCAGCTCTCACCTGTACAGGTTCACAAAGTGCTTTCCCACGGAGAGGGCCCCTGAGTGCAGGTCCAGGATCGAGGCCTGAAAGACATGCTGTGAGCCAAGGAACCAACAGCTGCCCTGGTCCCCACCACCTCTCTGCCTCCTCTCCTGTGGCCTATGCCCATCTCATCTGCATTGTGATAGCAACTCAAGTGAGACCCAGAGACACGCATGGTCCTGAGGAGGAAGGTCGACCCGCAGTCCAGGTGGGTATCCACTGGGTGACGAAGTGCGGAACACCTACCATCAGTAAGTCTGTTCAGATGAGCACGGAGCCTTTAACAGTGTCATCGAGACAGGAAACCACATGAAAGGTACAGAATCCAAAGATAAAAAGAAGCTGCCTTTGTTCACAGACATGATTCTCTGCTCAGAAAACCCCAAAGAACCAACAGAGGACACAGGAGGGGAGCAGCAGAGGGGACCTGAGTCACACAGCAAGGCCAAAAGCTGGCAGACCTGCAGGCCCAGCAAGAGGTCAAACTGTTGTTTACGAAACTAAACCACTGATTTACGAAGAAAATAGGTGAGACAAGCCACAGAAAGAGCCTGAGTCCTCCGAGAAAAGCTCAGACTTTACGGATAACTGTCAAAGGGAACATTAGGGGAGTGAAAAGATGACCACACTCATAGTCACCAAGGCAAGCTTTCCCCGCGCTGACCACACAAGCACCGTGCTCCCAACACTGCACCCAGAGGGCATCCCCGCGCTGACCACACAAGCATCGTGCTCCCAACATGGCACCCAGAGGGCATCCCTGCACTGACCACACAAGCACCGTGCTCCCAACGTGGCACCCAGAGGGCATCCCCGCGCTGACCACACAAGCATCGTGCTCCCAACGTGGCACCCAGAGGGCATCCCCGCGATGACCACACAAGCAGGGTGTTCCCAACATGGCACTCAGGGGGTACTGTACAGCTTCATTCCAAATCATGTATGAAAAAGCAGAGTCAATGCAAGCCCATCATTCTGAAAAAAGTCACAAGGGGTTTACACATGCCTGACAGGTACAGAACTTATCACCACTTGATGAGATGAGGAAGTGGGACAAGCCAGAGCCTCAAAGCAGTCCTGCCGAGGAAAGGGTGGTCCCCACCACCACCACCAGATCCTTCCACAGAGCATGGGGAATCAAGTGGGTCACACGGGGGAAAAGAGAACACTTCATACACAAACTTTAAAAATTTATAATTAAGAAAATGAGATTATAACTTGGTTATGAAAATAATTCTTTAATAAGATGCAAATAATACTAAACACATAGAAGTTCAAGACTCAATACCACTGAAAGGCAAGACCTTGGGCCCCTGAGGATAAGCAACAGCAGAACAAAGAGTACTAACATCAGCAGCGGCCAACAATGGTCAGACCCTACCCTGCAGAATGCCAAAAGCCTCCGACCTTGGACATGATTTTATAAAGAATTAAATAAAATAAAACCATTTTCTTCAAAAAGGCACAACTCATAGTCAAACCTTCTATCAGTCTATAAGGTTAACAGTAACACCAGGAGAGAGGTCTCTAGTCCTTGGAACCATCAACTTGGAGGACCACGGAGCAGCATCTGTCCAAGGACAGGCTCAGAAGGTAGGAAGGGAGGGGACAGAGGGATGGATGGACACAAGGGCAGGGAGAGGGGACTGTCACCAAGGCCAGAGAGCAACATCCAAATGGCTGAGCAGAACATCAAGGTGCTGGTAAACTCAAACCATAGCACAGAGTTACAAGAGAAAAGAGGGGACACTAGAGAAAGACGAACAGAAACAGGGAGTAGAAAGAGCTGTCAGACTGTGTGGATGTCAACGTCCTGAAAAATGGGTACAAATTATGGACCAGAACACCAAGTTTCTCTGTGAACTCTCACCCAAACCAAACCAAAAGTGGAAAAAAAAAAGAGTAGTTGAGAGTCACCACAGAGGGGCCCAGGCAGGGGTCCCCAAAGGCTGAGAGTCCCCAAGGGCTAGGGTCCCTAAGGGCTGGGGGTCCTCGAGGGCTGGGGGTCCCTGCAGCGTGGGGCTCCCTGAGGGCTGGGCAAGAGTCACTGAGGGCTGGAGGTCACCAAGGGCTGGAGGTCCCTGTAGACTGGGGGTCACCAAGGGCTGGGGGGGCCCCTGTAGCCTGAGGGTCCCCAAGGACTGGGGAGTCACTGTAGTTTGGGGTCTCTGAGGCCTAGGGGCCAGAGGCCTGGGGGTCCCTAAGGTCTGAGGTTCCTGAGGGCTTGGAGTTCCTGTAGTTTGGAGTCCCTATATCCTGGAAGTCTTTGTAGTTTGGGGTCTCTAAGGCTTGGGGTCAGAGGTCTGGGGGTCCCTGAAGCCTGGGAGTCCCTGTGGTTTGAGATCCCTGTGTCTGGGGTTTCCGTGGCTTGGGGTTCCTGCAGCTCCCACACTGCTCCACGCTGCGCATCACCCCACCTGCCTGCTGGATCTCTTGCCATTGACCACTAGATCCACTCCCAACTGGCCACTGGCCAAGTCTCACACAGATGACCTGAACCAGGTGGCCGTGGTCACCCAGAGGCAGGCTGGCATTTCTGAGGGCATGCTCATGCCCCTAAGCTCCTGGGGTCAGTGCTGGGGAAGGGTTGGAGGGACACTGGGCAGGGGCAGAGCAGAGCCTGCTCCCTTGAGGTGGGCACAGGGCTGAAAGGACACAAAGGGGGAGAAGATATACTCACCCCGCCATCTGATCCTCCCAGAGCCAAGCCCTTCTCAGCAATGCTGCCGGGAGAGAGAGAGAAGAGGCGTGAGAATGGGGCTCCTCACGGCATGGGGCAGATGCCAGTGCAGTCACCACCTCAGAAGTCACCACCTCAGAAGTCACCACCTCAGAAAGCTACTTGTGCAACATGATAGACAGACAGACACTCAGACCAAGCCCGTGCTCAGAACTGCCGACTGGCGACCAGTGGTGCCATGGTGCAGAAGCACCCAGCCTCCCGCCTCTGGCATTGAGAATCTGTCCCAGTACAGGTGGACCAACGAGGCCTGGGTAGGTCTGGGCAGCCTGACAAGGGCCTGGCCTGCCCTCCACTCTGTCTCTGGCTATCCGAGGCTGGCTGCAAACAACATCTCAATCACAGGACACCCAGAGCCAGCACTGTGTGTGAGCCTGGCTGTCACAGGGTCCAAGTGTCCTGGCCAGTGGAAGGACAGGGTGTTCGGCCAGTGGAAGTGACCACTAGTTGTTGGCTCAGGAGTGGGGGTGCTGGGCCACAGAGTGGTTCTGAGAGGTGATAAGGATTATCATCCTGGGATGGCCTCAGTCAGGAAGTCCTTGGAAGTGATTTGCTTTGGAAGCAGGAATCCTTACTCCCCATCAAAGGACAGTGAGGAAATCAGGGACGATCCTCCTGCCCAGACCCTTTCCTACTGCTCAACTCAAAGGCCCTCCAAGCCCCATTACCTGCGGATCCGAGCCGCCTCCTCCCTGGTGATGACCATGTCCGAGACACCACGGCCACACTTCCTAGGGGTGCACCCTGCAAAGAGATGAGGCTGGGTCAGTGTGGCCCCTGCCCTACCTGTGGGGCATGATGCTGCAAAAGCATGGCGCTGCCCTGAGGTGCCCAGAGGACGCCTGGTGATCCTGGAGCCATCACCGGCTGCAGTTTGCTGGCCCCTAGTCCTCCGGGCTGGCCCTTCACTTCCCAATGGGCTATCCTTGCCACCCCTCATGCTGTGATCCCTCCTGCCCCTCGGACAGGGCATGGAGGGTGGAAGTGTCACCTTGCTGACCACTGAGAAAGCCCAGAAGACACTCCTCCTGGATCAGCTCCACGTGCCTCTTCCTGGGAGAGTCTGGCAATCTCATGGCTTGGATACAAACACCAGATCTTTAAAACCCAGGGGGGATGTTTCAAAGTTAAGGGGCACAGAAGCAGCAGGTGTTCCAAGAAGAAGCAACAGCAGTCAGTGGCTGCAAGGACCACACCCCCTATGGCCCAGCTCTCATGGGTCAGCACACTTCAGCACCTTGGAGAGCTGCCTGCCAGACAGACAGACAGACACCACCTGGTCACTCCCACCACACATTGTCAACACAGCATGGCACTGAGACGAGGACCAGGTCTGGGGAAGCCACTAGGGACGACTTGACCCAACGGATCTCAGAATACCCGCAGCTCAGAACACCAGTAGGGGCTGTGCTGCACAGAGCCCAAGGCCTTGCAGGCCAGGTGTGGGGCAGCTGGGGACAACACCGCCACCTCATGTCCATAGCTAGTAGTGCAGGCCAGCCAGGCCAAGGGAAGGATGGCTGGTTAACCATCACTCCCTCCCAAAAGATGTGCAAACACATTGACACCAAGACACAGAGGCACACATCACAAAAACACCCACTGCTCCACCAGATGCTCTGCTGGAGAAGGAGGGGGCAATCTCCTTCTGTACCAGTCAGATCTGATTTGACGGTACACGTAAAAATAATACAATAATAAAAAAAAAAGTTGTAGTCTTTAAAAAAAAACACCCACTGTTGTAGGGTCAGTTTCATTTCACAGCAACACCATGGTAGGACTACTGGCAGGGTTTCAGAGGCCATGGTGCTGACCGACAGAACTCTTTCCTGTGCAGCAATGCTTTTTTTTCTTTTCACTCCCGATGTTTTTTTTTATCAGAAGGTAAACTCTTTACCCCTGAACCATGAGTGATCCTCAGAAATATTCAGACACATCCAGATACACTCATACCCAGATATAAACACAGACATGTGCACATAAACAGAGACACACTCATACATGCACACAGGTACACACACACTCACTCTAAAATATAGTCACATGCAGAGATGCACACTCATTCATACACACTAACACACTCATAGTCACACACACAAACTTGTGTACACACAGAGACACAGATACTAACATGCACAGGTACACATCCACACGTTCACTCATACACCACGCTGTCTCTCCCCTATACATACTCACCTTCAGAGATACCTCCACACAGTCAGTCTGACCACACATACTCTCAGCCTCGTACTAGCCCACATGTCTAGCTAGCATGGTCCTGCTCCCTCCCTCCTGGACCTTGGACATCCCAGCATGGCATGATACCTTCAAACCTCCGGTGGCCATCATAGTCCTCAGAGCAGGACACCTCGAAGAACCTGCCTTCCAGGACCTCGTTGTGGCGAGCTAGGACTTCGATGGCCCCATCATCACTGGCCATTTGGCCCCAGAGCAGGAACACTGCAAGTGTGGTACAGATCCCTAGCACGGCAGTCTTCAGCCCTATTCTCGGGGCCTCCTGTGGAGTGCAGTCCTTCTTGGTGCTGAGGGGGACATAGGCACAGCAGTGACACCTCGGTGGGAGTGTTGATGAGCCCTGAACCCTAATTCTCAGTAAGTTGAGCTCCCTTACCCAGACATCCTGTGAAGGCTGTGGTGGCACCTCTGAGCCCCCACCCATGCATGTACACGTAGCACCCACATATGTCCACAAGCACACACATGAACAGCCAGACCCAGAACAGCAGATGGGGCATTCCCTGTGACTGCGGGCCCCCTTAGGAGTGTGGACCATCTGGGTGCCCACACACTATACTGGGCTCTGCCCGTGGGCCTCCGGATGGCTCAGTTCTAGCTCTCCATCCCTCATGAGCCCCCTGCCCTCGAAGCCTTCAAATGGAGAGTCAGTTGCTGTGCACAACCCCAGGGAGCAGGAAAGGCCAGGTGGGCCACAATAGAGGGGAGGGCCCCGGTGAGGCACAGGTAGGGGTTCAAGATGCCTTCTAGCTATCATCTCTCGAGAATCAAGAATCGATGGTGCTCAGCAGAGAGTCACAGAAGTCCCACGAGCGGGGACCGAGGGGCACATTGGATGCAGTGTGATGAGAACACGTGGACTGTAGATTCCGCAAAGCGGGCACTGTGGAGCCACGTCCAGAACCCGCTGCACCCACGCCACAGAGCCCTTCCCTGACTCAGCCACGCCCACACAGCTTTGCTCCGCCCCTCAGTGACAAGCCACGCCCACACACCGATGCCGACCTGCCCCAGATCCTCCCCTCGTGACCACGCCCACAGAGCGTGTCACGCCCACAGCGCGAGCCACGCCCACAGCGCGGAGCCACGCACGAGACCACACCCCCTGGAAAACACGCCCACAAGGCTGCATCGCTCCGCCCCCTGTCCTCGCCCACGCGGTGGACTCGCCCCACCCTGGTGCCTGGGGCCTGCGCCTTCCGCTCTGTCCTGCACCTGCTAGGCCGTCGCCGCTCCGCCGCCCCGCTGCCCTCGGGTGACTTGGCTGTGCCCCTTCGCTGAGGCGCCATCAGGCCAAGCCCTGGACACGGGAACTGAGGTGGCGCAAGGCAGGTGCGGAGTGCACACTTGAGAGCGACACACTCGGCCTTCGGCCTGGGGACTGGCGGCCAGACTCGAGCAATCTGCAGCCGAGCGGAGGGGCGGGGCAGGGGCGGTGCTTCCCGAGGGCCAGCGGGGTGCATGCGCAGCAGTGCAGCCTGCGGAGGGTGTGGGCTGGACGGGGCATCCTGACTCCAGCCACGGCCTCAGCTGACCGCCTAGAGACCTCCCCGCTGACCTCCAGGTGAGGCCCCGGCTGCAGCCCAGCCTCTTGGAGGTGCAGCCCAGCCGGTTCCCGGCTCGGTGGGCCCCCTGCTGCCTTCTCCCTGGAGCTAGCCTTGGGCGTGAGGGAGAGCGCCAGCCCTGTCTCGTGGTCAGTGCCAGCAAAGTTGACCTGCTGGCCGCCGACCTCTTGAGGCGTGCCTGTCAGTTGACGATCCTCGCCTGCCTTGCCTAGGGTTCTTTATATGCAGTTTAATGGGGCCTTCCAACTCTTGGTAGCCACCTAGGAGTCACTCTGAAGCACATGAATGGTGGACAGCCCGAGAAAAGGAGACCTGGACCCTTGGACTAAGCTCTGTCACCTGGCCATCCTGTGGCTGCAAAAACAGACGTCAGGTGTCACTCGGACTCCTGGGTGCTCTTGCTGACTGTCCACCAAAGGCCCAGGGAGGCCAGGCTGGAAACACGGGCTGCAGCCGGAGAAGCTCCCAGTCCTTTCACTTCTGATCACCTCACCTAGGACTGGAAGGAAGGGTTAGCACCCCGTAAGGACACGGAGCACAGACTTCTGTCTTTTTTCTTTTAATTTGCTGCATTGGTTGCAGGTAAGACGGGACTGCTCTCACCTCACTGTCAGGGAACCATCCACAGCTTCCTTCTGAACCTGAGGCTGCATTGTGGAGGTGTGCATTGGACCACTGCAGAGCTCCCAGCTCCCAGTCTAACTTGCTTGCATTTGATTCAAAGCTTGCTGAAGGTTCAGCGTTTCAGACACCAGCTGCCCCCTGAGAGAAGCACCTGTGCAGGTGTTGAAGTCTGTCGGGCTCTGTGGGAAATACTTGAGCCACAGCGTTGTTGAGAGGGACCTTTGTGTCATTTCCCACTCCCCGCGACCCCTGGTGCCACCGACGGCATCCTGCCCAGCCCGGCAGTCCAGGTGGTTTCTGCTGTGCTCTAGCCGTGCCACAGCTAGCCACCGTGTCAGTCTGTCCAGGTGAGGGCCCCTGAGTGACACAGGTGACTTGTGCTCCACTCGTCACCTACCGGATGTCCATCTGAATGTGTGCAGTGGACCTGAGGAAGTGGCCTGGCCATTTGCTTCTGTAACAGCTGGGAACCCCTAGGAGCAGCTTCCTGTCACCCGCTCACCTGCTGTGACTGGTCTGCAGTGGGTCTGGTTTACTTTTTAATATATGTCAGCTGCTAACCTGACATAAGGGTCAGGTGGGTCGCGGTTCCAACCCACCAGCTGCTCAGATGGTGAATATGGGCCCGTTTCCTCACCAAAGATTTCCAGCCTGGGCAATGGAGGGTCACCAGGAGTCGGGATCGACTCAACCCAGTACCTTGGTTTTTTATTTTTTGGGTGTTGGGGTGGGTTTGTTTGTTGGTGGTGGTTTGTTTTGTTTTGTTTTTTGTACCATTGAATTGGATCTGACTGGCACAGGAGGAGATTGCCCCTCCTTCTCCAGTGGAGTATATGGTGAATTTGAACCACACGCCTTTGGGATTGCAGAGCAGCTTCTTGCCACTAGGCCACCAGAGCTCCCTAGTGGCTTGGTTTTCAAGATCATCTGTGTCCGTGAAGACACACACATTGCCAAGCATTTCCTCAGCCTCAGCACAGGACTTCTCTGTGGAACATTTGTTCTCCCCTGTCTTTGGACAACACTGCTCTTACCATACACTTCTGCAGTTTGCCCCATCCTTGCACAGAATGGATTCATTGTTGTTGTTGTTGTTAGGTGCATGATGTCGAGTGGAGTGCGACCTATAACGACTCTGTGAACAACAGATTTGGACCCTGTTCTGTCCTGTGCCATCCTCACGCTTCCTGACCACTAGAGCCCATTGCAGCGGTCAGTGTCTATCTGCCTGGTTGAGGGTCTTCCTCTCTTTCACCCACCCTCTGCCTTTCGAAACAGCATATCCTTCTCCAAGGAATAACCTCTCCTAGCAACAGGCCCAAAGCATGTGAAGCGAAACTTTATTATCTTTGCCTCCAAGGCGCACTCTGGCGGCACTTTCTCTAAGACGTAACTGTTCATTCTTTTGGCAGTCCATGGGATATTCAGTACTCTTCTCCCAACACCTCAGCTCAAAGGTCTCAATTCGTCTGTCATCTTTATTTATTGTCAAGCTCTCAGATGCATACATAGCAAGTGATCAGAAAGAACATGAACTGAATCAGTCACACCTTAGTCCTCAAATTGACATCATTGCTCCTCAATAATTTGGAGAGGTCCCTAACGATAGACTTTTGCAAATGTCTCCTGATGTTCTGACAGCTGATACCAAGGGTGCTGATTGTGGATCCAAGTAAAATGAAGTTGTTGGCAGTTTCAGTCTCTTCTCCATCTATCAGTCCAGTGGTAAGAATATGTTTCCTTGACATTGAAACACAATCCATTTTGAAGGCTATATTGCTTGGCCTTCTACAACAAGTGCTTCAAGTCCTCCTCAGTTTTAGCAAGCAAGCTTGTATTATCTGCATAACACGTTATTGATGAGTCTTCCTCTAATTTTGTTGCCACATTCTTCATAGAGTCTAGCCACTCAAACAATTTGCTCAGCTTGTAGATTAAATAGGCGTGGAGAGAGAATACAACTCTGATGCTCTTTAAACCATATAGCATTCCCTTGCTCTGTTTGCACAACAGCTCTTGGTCTAGGTATAGTTTTCGCATGAGCACAACCAGGTGCTCTGGATTCCATTCAGTGTCAGCCACAGCTTGTTATAATCCACACAGTGAAACGCCTTTGCATAGTCAATAAAGCAAAAATGGACATTCTTCTGGTATTCCTTACTTTCAGCCAGGATCCATCTGACATCAGCAATGATACCCTGGTGCCACGGCCTCTTCTAAATCCTGCTTTAACTCTGTCAATTCCATATCTATGTACTGTTCTAGATATGTTGAAGGAGCATTAGCAGTATTTTGCTTGCATATGATAGTAATGATACTCTTTGATAGTTTTCACATTCTGTTGGATCCCCTCTCTTGGCAATGGGAACAGATGTGAATCTCTTCCAATCAGTTTGCCAACAGAGTCCCTCCAATTTTCTGGCGTAGATTGGTGAGTGCATCCAGGGCTGCACTTGTTAAGTGAAACAATTTCATTGGTATCCCCTTGATTCTGGAACCTTATTTTTTTGCCAGGGCCTTCAGTGCAGCTTCAGCTTCCTCTGCACATTCCATTACACTACTTGGCTTTGTCTTTTCGAGCTACCCTTTGAAGTCGTCTTTTCAGCTGTTTTGCTTTGGCATGTTTCCCCTTTGTTTTGGCTTCTTGATGCTGTAGTGCAATTTTCAGAATCTCTTCTGACAGCCGTTTATATTTTTTTCTTTCTCACCTCTAATTACCTTTTGCTCTCCTCATGGATGATATCCTTTATGTCATCCCATAACTGATTTGGTCTTCAGTCATTGGTGTTCAGTGCTTCAAACCTGTTCTTAAGATGAATTTGAAATGCAGGTGGATCAGATAAAAGATCATATTTCGATTCTTGTGGACTTGTTTTCATTTTCTTCAGGCTCATTTTGAACTTGCACATGAGTATTTGAGGGTCTGACCCACAGTCCACCCCGGCCTAGTTTTGACTGCTGATACTGAGTTTCTCCAGCGATTCCTTCCAAAGATACAGCCCGTCTGATTCCTACGCAGCCCATTAGGTGACGTCCTTATGTAAAGTCATTGTGTGTTTTTAAAAAGATATTTGCAATGAATAAATCATTGAAAAGACAAAATTTGATCATTCTGTTTCCAGCTTCATTTCCATCACCAAGTCCATACTTTCTGATTCCTTCTCATTGTTTTCAGTTTGTGCATTCCGGTCACCAGTGATCACGAACGCATCTTGATTGCGTGTTTGGTCAGTTTCAGATTACAAAATTTGGTACAGATTTTCAATTTTTTTCCTTTTTGGCTCTAAATGCAGGATCATATATTTGAATAATGGTTATATTAACAGGTCTTCCTTAAATGTGTATGGATGATAACCTATCACTCACAACATTGTACCTTAAGATGGAACTTGATACTGACTTTTTTACTGTGAAGGCAACACCATTCTTCTTATGTTTTTCATTCCCAGTATAGTGTACAATGTGATGATCTGATTCAAAGTGGCCAGGGGGAGCCCACCTCATATCACTAACCCCAACAGTGTCAATTCAGGTTGATTCAATCCCACGTTAAAAGAAGACTAGTGCACAAAGATTATTTTTTTTACCTTTCCTATTTAACCTGTCCTGCTTTTCTAATGACTAAGATAAAAATTCAGCTTTCATCTGAGTCTGTCTTTCCATTTGCTGTAGTGGTAAGAAGCTGAGCTGCAGTCCCAGAGACACAGTCTGAATCCAGCACCTGCTCCACAGGAGACGGGTAGGCAGTCTCCCTGTGTGGTTTATTCCTCTGAAAACCCACTGGAGGGTCAGCTGTGAGTGGGTTCCACCATCAACTCCGAGGCACTTGTGTATTCTTCAAATTATTGTTGTTTTATTTTAAATCCTCAACAGTTTTTTTCTGAGATCAGTTGTGTGTTCTCACCTCCTGAAGCCGGAGGCTGGATGGAGCTACGGAAGCACGTCAACATCAGGGCTCCGATTTTAGTAAAGCTGAGCTTCACAGTTCTGTCGCCGGGCCTGCTCAAGAGCTGAAGGGTGTGTCTGTTTTCACGGGCAGGACACGTCATTTCAGAGGGTTTACAACAGGCCGTGACTCTCAGCCTGGGCCTTGTGAGAGTAAAGCCGTCTATGCATAGCATTCCGTTTGAGGGGTAATCAGGTGACTCAGCACCCGCTTTCCTCAGTCGGTTCTGACTCGGGCCTCCATCGAGTTTCTGACGCTGGGAAGGCCTGTGTGAGAGGAGACTGTCCTTGTTTCTTCGTCGGAGCAGCTGGTGGATTTGAACCACGGACTTTTTAGTTAGCACAACACACAACATCCTGCACCACCAGAGCTTCTAGATGAAATGGTAGAGGTCCCTGTAACATACGTGTGGAGAGACGTCCTAGTTCATTGTCTTTTTAGTAAAGAGATCCTCCTAGTTAATGAAAGTGCAGGGGAGGCCGAAAGGAGAGGCTGCAGCCTGTGCGTAACGCTGCGTTTCTCCTCTAGGAAGGTGTGTCCACCCCCGGGTTCTGGAAGAGCTGTTTGCAGACCGCATGGAGATGGCTGGCCCCTCGCTCTTCAGGCTGCGGGTGGTCCACCTGGACCTCAAAGGTGCACCGCCAAGGGTCTCGTACCTCTCGGAGGTAAGACCCCTCCTTCCCCCAGAGCACATTTGTCTTAACTTCTGGAGCCGAGCGTGAACGGTGTTCAATGGAAGTACTTTGCCGTGGGAATCGATTTCTCAATTTCCCCAAATTTCTGCATAGAAACAGAGCAACGAGAAGAGAAAGGGGAAAGAAAGAGAGGAAGGAAGGAAGGAAGGCAGGCAGGCAGGCAGGCAAAACCTTTTCTACAAAACACAGTGCTGAGTGTGCCCTTGGGGCGGGGCCCTGGGGAGCAACTACTAGGCCCACGGTGGGGATCCAGAAAGATGCAGTGAGGGACCTGAGAGACCGCCTGGCCTCTGCTCCCCACACACAGCCCCGCTGAGGGAGGACGAGGTGTAGGCAGGGGCAGCCTCCCTGAGTGGGAAGGAATGTTCAGACGAGGACGGGCCTCCAGAGGCCACAGCTGTCGGTTAAGATCCTGTAGAGGTGGCTGCCGAGTATGGTGTTTTTACTACTTACTTCATGAAACAAAAGATCCTGTCAAGCTGACCCATCTCTGTCCAAAATACACAAACTTGTTCTTAGAAATATAAGACAATGAGTCACATTTTAAAAAGAGCAATGGGAAAGAATTGGTGTTAAGTCCCAAGGACATGGTGAGAGAAAGGATAATTCTCAAAATCCCAACCCAACAGGGACCATGCAGCCATTTCACTGTGAGATACAAGAAATAGGAAAATGCTAGAAGACCACTAGCACTCAAGAAACTGTCAAAGGTTTACACGCAGAGAAGAATAAAACAAGTCTTCATGGTTGCCAGAGATAGAAGGAGGGAAAAGACCTACGCAGCTAGAAGACACACTGACGGTGGTGCCGAGAATGGCAGCTCCCAGGGCAGCCGGGCAGGGCCTGTACAGTCCAGGCAGAGAACAGAGTGAGCCCAGAGCGAAGGGCATCTGCCTCCGGGTGACCGTGTGACCCACCACACACACCACCAGAGCTCTGGGCTGGTTTTGTTTTGACAGAAGGGGATGCCTGTGTATGAGAGTAAGTAAATCCAGAAGCCTGTGTCCACCAGTCTGACTTTGTAAACATAAAAGCCACAGGCACAAACAAGAAATGAGATGGTTGACCAGCAGGCAATGTTCAGGTGGCCAAGGAGGGTCCAGGGTGCCCTGTGTGCAGCAAAGAAGGCAGGAAAGAGCCAGAGCATTAACTGCCGGGGCGAAAGCTGCGCCCCTCCACTGTCTCAGCTCCGTCTCCTTAGGCCATGGAGGGAAAGGCCCCCACTCTGCATACGCACCCCTTGCGTCCGAGTGATCCCCACTTCATGACACTCATCTTCCCCAGGTCTTCCCTCTGCTCCGCACGCTGGGTGCAGACGCCCTCCTCATTGAGTATGAAGACATGTTTCCCTACGACGGCCACTTGAAGCTGCTCAGGGCCAAGCATGCGTACAGGTACGTCAGTGACGGACACCTTGTGAGAAGGCCGGTGTCCCGGTGTGCACGCGGGGCAGGCACCACCTGGCCATGTGCGTGGGCAGTGAGAGTTGAGGAGACATTTCTGTCTCACATCTGTTTTTCTTTTCAATAAAAGTGAAGTATGTTCCGTGCTGAACATTTAGACAGTTTCAAAAAGGAAAACGTGCCTCAGTGATGTTCCTCCCTTGAAGAAAAGCTGGGATTCTGATTTTAAGAGCCCCGTGCTGCTCTTCTCACCTGTAGACAAGAAGTGCGCAGGGACCACTTAGCCGGGGGAGGTCTGAGCCTGTGACCGCTTAGCTGTGGGGGAGGTCTGAGAGCGTGGGGACCGCGTCCACGGGGGAGGTCTAAGTGCGTGTGGCAGTGCCTCCATATGGCTACCACCCAGCTCTTCAGCTGGGAGGATGATAGAATCACTGGGGTGAAGGTGTGGTGGGGGCACCTGAGGGGTGGTGGGGGCACCTGAGATGGGATGGAGGCACCTGAGGTGGGGTGGGGGCACCTGCTGGTTTGGACATTGTCTCCATAGAAGTCAATAAGCAACAACACAAAAGAAAAATAGGCTAGGGTCGTAGGAGCTGGGGCACAGCAGGGAAATAATGCCCTGTGAGTGTGAGAAAATGTTACACTTTTTTTAGGAAACAGACTTTAAAGCCAGGATGAAATGCCACTTTTGGCTATGAAATTGGTGAAGTTTTTTGTTTTGTTTTAAAAAATCCAGTCCTCTGATCGTAAGACAGAACACGCACACTGGCCTCTGGTGGAAGTGTGATTCGGCCATTCCAGCAACATTTGGGCATCCGTGCTCTCAGGATTCTCACGCCGGCATGGTGATGGGGCGCTGGGAAGGACAAAGGACATGTAGGGACACTCAGAGAGGACCCGGGACAAGGACGTGTATAGACAGAGAGACAGAGAGGACCCAGGATAGTTTCTTGGTGAAGTGATTGACAGCTTTCACTTTATTTGTAGTGTTTCATTTTTCTCTGTACGATGGCTTTGTGCTTTTTTTTAAAAAAAAATGTAAAAAGTACTAGGGTCCCTTTGAAATTTGAGAAGGGTAATTCCACAGTAGAGTTTATACATTAAATAATGCATTTCTAGAACTGACCAGCTTAAGTGGTGCTTCAGACATTCAAACCAAAGCCATGGCCCCTCCTCCACCTGGAAGAGAGCTGTCCCCTGTCATGGAAGCAGACTGCCTGTCCATCCCAAGGAGAGGCTGGTGGTTTAAACACTTGACCTTTTGGTTACCAGCCAGTCTGTTTATCACTGCACCACCAGTGCCCCGACACCAACCCACAGCTGAGTTTTAAGTTGCACTAAATCCACAGATGACTCACCAGGGAGTGTGTGACGTCCTGTGCTCGCTGGCGCTGCCCTCTCCGGGGCAGGGTCTCAGGTCATATGAACTCAGGAGGGTGATGAGGGGTGCTGGATCAGTGCACTCTCCACGGCCTCTCCTGGCAGCTTCCCTACGTGTGAGGAAGACCACGTTGATGAATTCTCCTGTTCATGTGAATGCTTGTGTCCCCAGAAGTCATCAGGGGACCTAGAGCTCAGGTCTGTGGCACCTTTTCTTGCCCATAGAAGGGCCAACCACTTCCTGTGAAAGGCCAGGTCCTACACCAGCAGGCCGTGTGGTCATTGGCCTCTGTTGGCACTGCTGAGCACAAACCAGCCGTAGATGGCTCTAACCGAGGCAGGCCCAAATGCCAATGGACTTTAGAGGGAGAAGCCCCTTGTGTCTGTTCTGCTTGCTTTCAACCACATCCACACGTGGGAACACTCCCTGAGAGGTGCCAGAACACGTTGGAGGGAGCTGGAGATCCCCAAGATGGGCTGAGGATCCCCGAGGTGGCCCAGGGTCAGTGCTTCCGAGGTGGGCTGGAGTCTGCAGGCCAGCTGTGGGATCTGTGCAGAGCGGGCACCTCCAGCCTGCTGCCCGGTGGTTAGGACAGCGAGATACGAGCAGGCATTACTGGAGGCCCCAGGACGCAGCAGAGCACTGGTGCCTGGGGTGTGGCGTGGAGCCCTCCTTGAACCCTGCATGTCATGGCAGCCTGAGGGACCCAGGCTGGTCCCCTCTGTTATGACATCAGCTTCACAGTGACCCCCAGAGAGACAGCTGAAAGGCCGCGCTGCAGTCTTGACAGAGGGAGCTGCTGGCCACCCAAAGACCCCACTGCTGTGGTGGCTGGCACCCAGCAGCAGCCCTACAGGAGGGGGGGGCAGCCTCCTCTGTAACTCATGGCTTGAGAAGCCCAGTGAGGGCTCAGCTAGGCATCAGCTCTGACTCCGTGGCAGTGAGGCCTTGAAATGGAATCTTTACAGAAGCCTACAGCCTTGTCTTGCTCCCACACAAAAGGTGGAGGTTTCAAATCACTGACCTTTGTCTAGTAGCTGAGACCACTGCCCCAGCAGAGTTCCTTATTCTTCCCCAGCCCCTCAGAGATCAGAGAAATCCAGCACCTGGCCAGACAGAATGACCTAGAGGTGATCCCTTTAGTGCAGACCTTCGGGCACATGGAGGTAAGTGGGGACAAGGGGTCACCTGTGTGGGGATCACTGCAGTGTGGGAGCCACAGGGCTGATAGGCCTGCTGGACTCCTGGAGCAGCCAGACAGTAGAACAGAGGGAAAAATAAAGTGAGGGGAGGAACAGAGAGTGGGAGGAGGGAGAGAGTGGCTGAAGGAACAGACTGGGAGGAGGGACAGAGTGGGAGGAGGGACAGAGGGTGGGAGGAGGGACAGTGCGGGAGTAGGGACAGTGCGGGAGGAGGGACAGAGGGTGGATGGCCAGGCGGGGGTGTTCTGGTGGGACATGCGGGGCTGGAACGACCCCGAGTTCAGTCTCTTTTGGTTTCTCAGAGCATGGGTGTGAGGTGAGCCTGGGTGGCTCTGTTTTTGAGTCCCCGCATTATCTTTCTGGTGGTCACCACGTACCCTCAGGGTCTGAGTGTCTGTTTTTAGGGAGGGCTCTAGGAAGAGGCCATGCTGACCTTAAAGCACAGAGCCTGCCTGGCTTTGGCCCTGCCTGTGACATAGCCTGTTTCCCTAGCTCGTTGTCCCCGTCCAGCTGGCATGCGCAGAGGTGGCCATGGGACTGTAGCGTCAGAGCTGACTTAACTTTGGGGATCAGTCCCTCAGCCATGAGGGAGGCACCCTGCTGCTCTTCTGATTGAAAATCCTCTGCTGTGGCCTCTCGGAGCTCACAGACATGCTCACTGATAAACTGATGACAACATGAATAACAGTACTGCTCAGGCCATGACGGATGACAGGCCACATCGTGAGAGATGGAGAAAAAATTTAAACTGTTAACAACTTCATCTCACTGGGATCCACAATCAATACCCTTGGTACCAGCAGTCAGGAAATCAGGAGACTCATTGCACTGGGAAAGTCCGCAATCAGGAACCTCTCCAAATTACTGAGGTGCAATGATGTCAGTTTGAGGACTAAGGTGCATCTGATTCAGGCCTAGGAGAATTCATTCCTTTGAGCTGTGGTGTTGGAGAAAAGTGCTGAACATCCCATGGACTGCCAAAAGAATAAACAAGTATGTCTCGGAGGAGAGTGTAGCCACAGTGCCCCTTGGATCATCTTACGTAGTTCGGGCATGTTGCTAGGAGGAGCTATTCCTTGGAAAGATTGAGGGACTGTGAAGGAGAGGATGAATTGACACAGTGACTGCTGCCATGGGCTCTAGTGTGTCAGGATGTGTGAGGATGGCACAGGATAAGACAAGGTTCAGGTCTGCTGTCCATAGGGCTGCCATGTGTTGTACTGGACTCAACGGTACCTGACAATTTGGATCAGAACCAGGGTCAGTGAGGGGGGAGTCCCCCTCCTCCAGGGCAGGGAAGCCTCGCTTGTCTGGCCCCCCCAGCCTCCCTGGCCCCTTTGGGGCTGCCTTTCTTCTTGGCTGTGGAGGTGGCTCCTAGTCAGTTCAAGGTGTGGCACGGCCACTTGACAGCAGAGTGACCAATCTCATGGCATGCCACAGATATGTCATTTGCATAGGCTATTTACTAAACTCTGCAAAATGCAAACCAATCAGAATAGGATGGAGTCTGAAACCAGGCAAAAAAAAGGTCAAATATGTATGTTCACAACTTACCCCATAAGTTTTAGTCTGTTCTGGGCAAAAGTAACAAACCCTCAGCCCACCTGCAATCCCACAAGATCAGAGGGAGACTCATCAATAACCTGCAGTTTGCAGATAACACAACCTCATTTGCTGAAAGTGAGGAGGACCTGAAGCACTTGTTGCAGAAGGTCAGGGAACATAGTCCTTCAGGATGGATTGGATCGCAGTGTTAGGAAAACAAAGATTCTTACCACTGGACTGATAGGCAGTCTCAGGATGGATGGAGAGGAGTTTGAAATTGTCAACAGATTCATTTTACTTGGACCCACAATTAACACTCTTGGTACCAGTAGTCAGGAAATGAGAAGACATGTTGCATGGGAGAAATCTACATTTAGGGACCTCTGCAAATTATTGAGTAATGATGTCAGTTTGAAGACTAAGGTGCATCTTACTCAGGCCACAGTCTTTCTGATTACTCATTGTGCATCTGGAACTGGACATTGAGTAAGGCTAACAGGAAAAGAATTGACGCCTTTGAGCTGTGGTGTCATAGAAGGGTACTGGACATCCCAAGGACAGCCAGAACAAACAGGTAAGTCTTGGAATAGGTGCAGCTGGAGTGCTCTTTGGAGGCAAGAATGATGAGGCTTTGTCTCACATACTTTGGACATGTTCCTAGGAGGTGCTATTCCTTGAATAAGGACATAATGCTGGGAAGAGTAGAAAGTTAGCAAGGGAGAGGAAGACCCTTAACCAGGGGAACTGACACAGTGACTGCTGCAAAGGGCTCTTGTGTGTCAGGAAGTGAGGATGGCGCAAGATAGAATAGGGTTCAGATCTTTTGTTCGTAGGGACGCTGAGTTATACTCAATTTGGCGGCACCTAACAATAACATACTCCACCTATGCCTGGGTGGGAAACTGAGGGTTTAGGGGAATCTCAAGCTGCTTTTGTAAAATGCAGAGGTCACTTGGAGGAACTCACTTCACTGTGGGACTGGAAGGTACCATAAGGGTAGTGACAAGCCAGTCGGGAGCTGGGGCCAAGGGCATGTATTGGAGGGCCAGGAACACAGAGGTCAGACAAGCTGAACCTTGTCCCCCATGTGAAGGGGCAGAACCAGGGCCTAGACCTGCCCACCCAAGACAGACCAGTACTCAAAGGGGTGGCTTCTCCCTTGTCAGCTGTCACCGCTAGGGACAGATGAGTACCTGCGGGCTGTGCCCACAAGCCTAGCCCTCCTCGTGTCCTTGTGCTGACCAGACACAGGAACTCACAGGCCCAGGCCCGTCTCTGCACTGTTACCACTGGGGACACGGGTGCCTGAATGCCCAGGCCCGCCTCTGTCTTTATCTCATGTCTGTCTCTGTTCCTGCCTCCTGGTGTAACCCTTTTTCTCTGTATTTCCATCTCTGTGTGTCTGTCTCTATTTCTCTGTCTCTCTGTTGCTTCTGTCCCCGCTCTGCCCGCAGTTTGTGCTGAAGCACCCAGTGTTTGCGCACCTCAGAGAAGTGGCTCTCTTCCCCAACACACTGAACCCCCACAAGGCAGAGTCGCTGGCACTGGTAGGAGCCATGGTGGACCAAGTGATGGAGCTGCACGGTGAAGCCCGGAGGCTCCACATTGGCTGTGATGAGGTGCAGTCCCTCCCCTCGCCCCTTGGCCTCACTCCAGCATTACTCCATGCTGGGAGTCCACTCGCCCCTCTGGAGCCTGAAGACAGGTTTGCCCAGGAGATGGTGTTCCGTGAGGCTCCCAAGTTCAAGTTCCTTCTGACCAGAGCTTAGAAAGAGGGCCTGGGCTCAGGCTTCCTAGGTGGGCTCTAGGGTAAGCAGACCCCAAGGGTCTTGTGTGCCAAATGAAACCCCCAGGACAGCAAACAGAGCCCAACCCCTACCCAAGGACAGCAGACAGGCCCCATGATACCACCCCACCCCCCCAAACAGAGGACAGCAAACAGGCCCCATCCCTCCCCTGGGGACAGCAGACAGAGGCCTCCGGGACAGGCCCCAACCCCTACCCTGGGAGAGCAGACAGGACCCCAGGGCAGGCCTCCCACCCCCAGCCCAGGACAGCAGACAGAGGCCCCCGGGACATGCCCCCCCCCCACCCTGGGACAGCAGACAAGATTAGTGATGTCAGATTCCGAGTCCTGGAACTCGGAATTGGCAGTTTGAGGTGTGAGGGTTAGAGGAAGTGCCTTTCGGCCCGGAGCACTGACTGGGACATCTCTTGACTGTCCTGGGCACCATGTGTGCATGTGTCATGCGTCGTAGGCATTCCTCCTGGGCTCCTCCACTCAGCACCATGTCTTCACGGTGCTCTCTCATGCTGGCTGCGTCAGGCTGCTGCTCCTGGCTGGGCTGCACACATTCTGAAGTCACAGTCGTGGTTTGGCTATTGTGACTAGTGCTGCTGTGACCCTGGATTCCCAGTTTAGGTCTGCGTGGTCCTGCCCCTTCCCCAAGCTTTGCCAGTAGTGATCCTACCAAGAGCCCATGGGGACAGTGCTCCGGGACTCAGGGCCCCGTAAGGACGGTGCTCCGGGACTCGGGGCCCAGCAGGGACAGTGCTCCGGGACGCAGGGCCCAGTGGGGACGGTACTCCGGGACGCAGGACCCAGTGGGGACGGTGCTCCTACCCAGAGCCCAGCGGGAATGGTGCTGCAGGACATGGGGCCCAGCGGGGACGGTGCCCTGTGGCTCCTCCTCCAGGTCTACTTTCTTGGCGAAGGGGAGACCTCTCGGCTGTGGCTGAGCCAGGAGTCGAACACCAAAGCTAAGCTGTGTCTGTCCCATGTGAGGGCCGTGGCCAGTCATGTGCTTGCCCGACACCCCACCCTCAGGCTGCTGGTATGGGATGACATGCTGCGTGACATGCCAGAAGATCTTCTCCAAGGTGAGAACCCCACCCCCCAAAGAGGCTGCCCCTGGGACTCACATCAGGGACCCCCGCCTGGCCCCCACCCCAAGGCCGTGAGCCCCACAACCAGCAGTATCCCACTGTCTGCTCCAGGACCCATCACTGCAGGGAGCCCCCTTTCTGAGTCGGGGTAGATTCTGGAGTGGGATGGTGGTGTTGGGACGGGTCCATGGGGGGTAGTGCGGTCCCTGCTGTATGGGAACGTGGTCCCCATGTCCTTGCAGAGTCGGGCGTGCCGGAGCTGGTGGAGCCAGTGCTCTGGGACTACGGAGCTGACGTGGATATCCATGGCAAGGGTCAGTACCTCGGATCCACAGGTGAAGGGCACTCCCAGGGCAGGCTGACCAGATGCGCTCAGGGGCAGGGTCCTCAGCGTCCCTTCTCCTGCCTGAGAACCCTGGCCATGTCCAGCTGCTCCTCCCTTGAGTACGCCTGCAGCCAGCCTCACGGTGCGGGCCTCCCTTCAGATGGATCCCTCTGCAGGCCCCACATTGCAGGTCTAGTCCTGGGACTGTTTGTGGGGCCTGTGACAGTGCCCTGAGCGGGGCTGACCCTCTGCTTTGTCCCCTCAGTGGCCCTCATGGAGAAATTCCAGAAGTGTGGCTTTACCCGGCTGTGGGCAGCCAGTGCCTTCAAGGGAGCCACAGGCCCACAGCAGGCACTCACGCCCATCCAGCACCACCTGCACAACCACCTGCAGTGGATGCAGGCCGCGCAGGCCGGGCCAGCAGGGGCGCTGCAGGGCATCGTGCTGACCGGCTGGCAGAGGTGCAGATCCACCCCGGGCCAGTGAGGGGCCTGGGCGGGGAAGCCTTACCCTGCAGCTGAGTCCTCTCTCTGGGCCCAGGTACGATCACTTCGCGGTCCTGTGTGAGCTGCTGCCTGTGGGGATCCCCTCGCTGGCCATCTGTCTGCAGTCAGTACAGCAAGGTATGACACCCCCCCACACGCCACACTCCCAGAAGCCCCCACACTCGGCCAGGCTTGAGGCCATGAGGAGCAGGATTAGCAGGGCAGTACACGTTCTCAGGGCCTTGCGGGGCCATCGTCCACCTGTCCCGTGTCCACTAGGTAGGGTCCACTGTGTGGTGTGGGGCCCCTGAGCAGCACTTCCGTGACAGCATGAAGTCAGAGGCCCCCAGGCAGGCTGCACACGTGCTGACCCCGTGTCCACTGCAGGAGGTTTCACCGAGGCGGCCAAAGACGAGGTGGAGAGCTGTCTTGGAGTGGCGAGCCTGGACGTAACAGACTTCTCGAGGTAGGGCTGAGCCTCCTGAGCCCGTCTCCTCACCAGCACCCCCGAGCTCACCCCTCTCTCTGCAGGGAGGGCACCGGCTCCTTCCCGGGCAGCGATGTCCTTGCCCTCGTCACGCAAGTCAGCGTCCACCTGCGGAGCTCTGTGGAGGGCCTACTGGATGGGAACAGGTGAGGTGCCCTCGACCCTGCAGACACAGCAGGTCACCGTGCTCCCCTCCCTTCTGCCCACCTGCGTGTTCCGCCAGGTATGTGGCCGGCTGGTTCAGCCCCTACCACCGCAGGCAGAAGGTCATCCATCCTGTCATGCTGCAGTACATCCAGCCCGAGGCACTCAGGTACCCACGCCCAGGACCCCTCCTCGGCTGCTCCCGCGGCTGCCAGAGCCACCCTCCTGCTTCTGCCCTAGCCCCTAGTTCCTGCCTCACCCCCACCTAGTTCTACCCCATATCCACGTGGATCCCCAGGCCTGCCCCACTCCTGCCTGGTTTCCCTGTCTGACTCCCCATTCTCCCAGGTTCTGCCCCATCCCTGTCTGGGTCCCCCATCTGCCCTGTCCCTGCTGAGCTGCACACCAGGACCCCAGAGCTCACTGGCCGTATGCCTCAGCCTCCTAGCCCACTGGGGTGTCCTGGTGCTGGAACTGGAGACTGCCATGAAGCGTATTTTCTACCCGGATGCTGTGGAGGAGTGGCTGGAGGAGAACGTGCAGCCTAGCCTGCGGCGACTGAAGAGCCTTGTGCAGGACCTGAGAGAGGCCGCTGGGCAACCTGAGGATGGAGCAGGGCCTTGTGGACATGTGCAAGAAGGGTCCTGAGGACACAAGGGAACCCTGGAAGCAGGCAGGGACCTCCCACACCTGGCTGACCTGGGAACACGGAGCCACGTGGCTGAAGCAGACCTGCCTTACCCACGTCCAGCTGTGTCCGGTGCCCAGTGGAACTGCTGGATCAGGATGGCCAGCGACAGCACTGGCTGCCCTGGGAGCCAGCACAGGAGTCTTCGTCGTGTGCCATCAAGCTGACGACAGATCACAGCGACGCTATTAGGACAGTGGTCTGGACCTTGTGTTATCCTGTGCCAGCCTCACCATCTCTAACACACCTGCTCCCGTTGCCCCGGCACCGTGGCAGTCCATCTCATCCAGGGTCTTCCTCTCCTGTGCTGACCTACCCAAGAATTATGTCCTCCCTGGTCCCTTCTGACAGCATGCCCAAAACATGTGAGAGTTTCAAAATCACTGCTCCAAGGAGCAACCTGGTTTCACCCTCTCCAGAACAGACCTGTCTCTTGGTGGTCCATGGTATGTATGATACTCCTTTCAAGCACAACTCAAGGGCATCAATCCTTCTGTTATCCTAAGTCGTTCTCCAGCTCTCTGATACATAGCAAGCAAGTGAGAAGACTATGGCTTTGGTCAATTTCAGACCGCAAAATTTGGTAAAAATTCCTAATTTCCTCCTCTTTGGCACTAGAAGTAGGAGCATATACTTGAATAATAGTCGTGTTAATGGGTCTTCCCTGTACGTGTATGGATATTAGCCTATCACTCCCAACATTGTATTTCAGGACAGAACCTGAAGTTGACTCTTTGACTATGAATGCAACACTGTTCTTCTGTTTTTCATTCCCTGCATAGTATGCCACAATAGCTAATTCAAAATGACCATAGCAGGTCCATCACTTCTCACCAATGCCTAGTATGTCGATAGTCACACATTCCATTTCATTCTTAATGATAGCCAATTTCCCAACATTAAAGCCATGAACATTTCATGTACCAATTGCTAACTGATTTTCCTCATTTCAACTGACTTCTAGGCTCTACCACTATACTACTGTGTCCTGTGTTTAGTGTTCATAGGTTTTCAAAAGCCTTTTATTTAGAAGTAGACTGCCTATCCTGCTTCCATCTGGGAGCTCCACCAAAACCATGTTCTAATTGGTGCTGCTGAAGTGCTCTTTGGAGGCAAGAATGATGAGGCTTCGCCTAACATACTTTGGAAGAAGTGCTATTCCTTGGGAGTGAGCCATGACACTGGGAAGGGTGGAGGGTTGGCGAAGGAGAGGAAGACCCTCAACCAAGTGACTGACGGATGACTGCTGCAGGGGGCTCTTGTGTGTCAGGAAGTGTGAGGATGGCGCAGGACAGGACTGGTTTCAGATCATTATGAGTCGTACTTGACTCGATGGCACCTAACAACATGACTTTGGTCAGGCACACCTTAGTCTCTAGACTGACATTGTTGCTCCTTAGCACTCTGGAGGGGTCCCCGAGCAACTCATCTTTTTCTGACTACTGGTACCAAGGGTATTGACTGTGGCTCTGAGCAGGATGAAACTGCAAACCACCACCTCAATCTTTTCCCCATCTGTCAGGACTCTTTTAAAAGTTGAACAACAAATTTTAATCTTGAATCTTTTACCCAGTCTTCAATTTATTAATATGAAAAGGCTTGATAAATTGCAGTTTTCTCATTATCGTATCACTGTGTAACAAGCCCTTGTTACAAGGTCTGGATCTTTGATTTTTTTCCTGTTTGCTATCCTTTATTAAAGGGTCCCATACCACCATGAGACTCCAGCCAAACCAGACAGGTCCCCCAATACAGCAGGAGGCTTGGAAGGGGAGGGGAATAACTTAGGATCCCACCACATCTCCTTGGAAACAGAAACCCACCACAGACAGACGGACAGACAGACTGGGGTGGGAGAGGAGAACTTGCTTCACTCTTGACTCTCCTCCCCTTGCCCCTACTTGAAAAGAAAGTCAAACACTGGCTATGCAGCCCCCCCAGCCTACCCATAGCAGCATTTGTGGGACACCACCACTACCCCCTACAAGGGGTGGCCCCAAGGGAGCTTCTTATCTCTCGTCCTTCACTTTGGTTTGCTCCTGGCATCTCCGGCCCTCTTCCCTCCTTCGCCCTCCAGCCGAATCACCCACTCTTCTATCACCTACTCAGACCTTCTATCTTCCAGACCTCCCTGCCCCAGGGCTTCTGGGGAAGCAGCGTCTCAGGCCAGACCCTCTACCCAGAACATGGGCTCACACAGCCGCCCCACTCTCCTTGAGGTCAGGGGCTGAGCGCTGCCATCTCGTCTGTGGGGGAGTAGTGTATGGGGGGTAACGGGGCCCTGGGGGCCTTTGGGATGGGTATAGTTGGGGCTGCTGGGGATAATAGTTGTGCTTTTTGGGCTGTAAGTGCTGGGGTTCAGGCTGTGTGGAAGCCCCTCCGTGGGGTTGGCCCCCTCCATCCAGGGAGTCCCTGCGGGGGCGGTGGGACCTTCGAGGACTTGGGGGCCTGTGAGGAGGGGTGGCTGGAGGAGGCGTGATCTCCTCTGGGGGTGGCAGAGGTGCTGGTGTCTCACTGCCTGCCATCCCTGCCCAGGACTCCTGGTGCTGGGGGTTGCTCTTGAAGGGGAAGCGCAGTTTGCAATCATGTGGGGGCACAAAGCGGGCGGGGGGGCCTGCGCAGTCCCCCACCATGCCCCCCAGAGCCCTGCAGTCCCTGCAGCCGTAGCTGCTCCTGCTTGAGCCAACGAAGGCGGCCACGACGGAAGGCAGGTTCCTCCTCCATCAAGCAAGACACCCGCTCCCAGCTGGACAGGGAGGCGAGCTGGGCTGGGCTGAGGGCACACGGTCACTGGACACTGCCTCTTCCAGGGCCTCAGACCCCTCAGGAGCAGCCCAGGCGGCTACACCTGATTCTCCATCCTCATTGTCATGATCCTGGGCCAGGGGGATAACCCTCTCCACGCGGAGCATGCGGTCTCGCAGGGCTTGCAGCTCTCCATCTTTGCAGTTCTGCAGCTTCACCTCTTGCAGAATCCCCGTGAGCTTGTCAATGTGAGCCCGGAGGTCTTCCACTTCCACTCCTCGGGCTCCTTCTTCACTGCCACCACAGCTGCCTTCCTCCTCACCCACCGTGTCCCAGGCATCTCCGGGCGCAGGTGCGGCACAATTCTCGCATCTTGAGGGCAGCAAGGGCCTCAATCTTGGCTCGTCCATGCCGGAAGTCAGCCAGGGCCACCTCGTAACAGATCTCCTTCACTGCCTGCATCTTCAGGTCTGCCATGGTGGCCCAGCGAGGGTCTTTGCCCTGCAGCTGCCACCACTGGGGGATCTGGTAAACTCTGCGAGGGGCCCTGCGCTTGCCACTGCTGGGCAGACCACAGCACTTGACAATGGTCTGGACCGTGGTGGGAGGCAGCTGCTCTCTCGAGATGAGCCGCCAGCTCTCCTCACAGGAACGCTTGTCAGAGTCATTCCCGCTGTCTGAATCTGCATACAAGCACCGCCGCTCCAGCAGATCAGCTTCTTCCTTCTCTTTCGGGTACTGATTCTCTAAATCCTGCAGTCTCTTCTCCATCTCCAACTTGATATCAATGCCTTGCTGCTCCAGCAACTCCTGCTGCGCTAAGTTCCAGTCAACAGGCTCAGACGGTGGTCCTGGGGGTGGTGGCACCCCCGTCCCCTCTCCAGCCGCGCTTGTTCTGGGTGATTGAAGCAGAAAACATGGTTTTTACCCATCACAATCCTATTTCCTGATTTCAGAATGAGGGGCTCAGTCACCAGCTTTCCATTGACATACGTCTCAGCTCCTTCACATGGCTCCAGTGCGACCACCACTTCTCCATCCCCGGAACAGACAATGTTGCTCCCGAATGAACTGCCCAGTTAGTTTGATGTCCACATCCCCCTGGCCAACCCTGGTGACGCCATCTTTGCTGTGGTAAAGCAGGCATTCTGACATCAGTGGATCTTCACTCAGGTTCACTAGGTGGGGAGTCTTTGGAGAGAAGACGCCCACGGTTCCACCATCCTCCCGCACGGCCACTCCCATTTCAGCCAGCAAGGCTTCTCTCTCCACCCTCAGGGCTTCTGTCTTGCGTAGCTTCTCTTCCCAGGTCTCGTTCAGCTCAGCTATAATCTTCTCTGTTTCCTGCAACCTCTCCATGGCCTCCTCGGGCCCTATCTGGGGCTCATCATTGGGGGCGAACTTTGGCTCCAGCTCTCCATTGTGTGCAGGGGGAGATATGGGTGAAGACGAAGCAGGGGGAGTTGACACCGGTGGCAGAGCACCTCCAGGACTCCCCTCTGCCACCTTCAAGCCTCCCAGGGCTGAGGCTGAGAGTCCCTGAGCCATCAGCAGTTCCCGCAGCCGGGCCACCTCTTCCTGCAGCTCTCGGATCAGCCTGGCATTTGGGTCTTCATTGATGATGGCATTGCAGCGGATCTGCTTGGTGCGGTCGGCATACCTGAGGGTACTTAGAGTCTCCTCATAGTTGATGTCAGCAGGGCTCAGGGCTGCGATCATTGTTGTCCGTGAATTCCCACCCAAATTCTCCTTGAGTAACCAGGTGAGCACAGAGTCCCTGTAAGGGATAAAATCCGACTTCCGCTTCTTTGATTGCATATCCGCAAGGGCTGAGATCACCTTCCCTAGAGTGGTCAAGGACCTATTGATGTTAGCACCTTCCTTCAGGCGCATGTCCCGAGCCCCCGAGGAGTCGGCCCGCTCACTCCCAGCAAGGCCCACCAAGCTGATCTTACTAACCTTCTCAGAGTCCAGGCCAGTGAGCTGGTCGTGGCAGCGCTGAGTGAAGACAATGGTGAAGACAGCATGGGAACAGCTGCTGGTCTCATTCATATTATTGGCAGCCAGTCCGTGCCTTATTACCACAGTCCATGAGGTCAGCAATATCTTCATAGGAAGTCACAGCCAACTTAGACAAGTCCTGCACATAGGGGCCCAAGATAGGGTGCTCGCGGACCCGCAGAGAGCCTTGACTCTTGGGATTCAAAAGGTCTCATACTCGTTCACAGTAGATCTCCGTATAGCTCACCTCCACAGAATAGAAGAGCTCGGCACTCTGGTTCCTACTAACACGGGAGAAGAGATCCTCACAGAACTGAGGCACGATGCCTTGCTGCCCAGGTTCCTGTCGCCCCATCATGGTACAGGATTTTCCAGTTCCAGTCTGCCCATGAGCAAAGATGCATACATTGTAGCCTTCAAAGGCATGCAGCAGCATCTCTTCTCCAATGTCTCAATACACCTGCTGCTGAGATGCAAATTGGGGGTCCTCAGCCAAGGTATGTGACCAGTAGGAATAGTCGGAGGTGAAGTTTTTGGGGGCATCCTTGCTCTGTTTGGGATTGAAGATGGAGGTGGTGTTGCCCTGCATGCTGACCACACACTTGGCATCTCGGCTGATCTCACGGGTGTTGAAGGGTCGAACCCTCACAGCCACTTTCACTGAGGCACCAGCCATGGTTCCAGATACTCTCCCCTCAACTGGTGTCCTGCCCCAGATCAGGGGGGCTGTATCAGTTCTGGCTGCTATCAGCCCTTGTAAGGGGAGCCCCATCCTACACTTTGGGCCTGGCCACGTGAGCTGGGGCTGTGGAGAAAGCCCTCGGTGCAGCAGGGCTCCCAGAGCAGTTTGGCAGAATGCAAAGGGACAAACTTTCCAGTCAGTGTGAGACGCGAAGTAGGCAAGCGCAGAGCAAACTGAAGGCTGCCCCGGGCCCTTGGCCGGTCCCTGGGCAGCAGGCATTGGACTCGCACCCCGGGGCGGCGGCAGCAGCAGCGGGCGCGTGCGGCCAGCGCCCGCCCGGGCAGCGCGAGCTGGGGCGGCAGCGAGGGGCGGGGGCCCGCGATCTCTGACTTCTCGATGTTGAGATGCAATCCTTGATCTGTAGCAAGTGCCTCAAGTTTCAGTAAGGTCATCTGCATAAACAGGCTGTCATGGATGAGTCTTCCTCTGCCCTCAGGATCAGAGGAACACTCACTGATAGTCTGTATTCTTTATGAAGTCTGGCCTCTCACAGGATGTGTGCTTTAGTGCTCTGGAAACACGGGGTCAGTCATGACCCAAGCATCTCATCCCCCTGGTTTTTCACCTGTGCCCCCCTCAGGTGCCCCATCCTTCCCCCTCCTGAGGCTTGGGGAGGTGGGGCGGCTGCGTGAGATGGCTCTCATTCTTGGTCGGCCAGGGCAGGATGAACAAACGGACTCTGATTACAGCACTTCATTTTTATTTTAAAGGGAAAAAACCCAACTATTTAAAAAAAAGCCTTTGGCATGTTCATTCAGATAACCAGATCCTCAAACTACAGATCCACTGAAGGCCCTCCCCCCGGGGGAGGGGGTTCTCTCCTGCTCCCAGAAAGTATTTCTGGGCTTCAGCTCTGTGTCCTTGGGGACCACCCTGGCCAGGCTCTGTGTAATCTCCCAGACAAGAGGCATCTCTGTGCCCCTTACCCCTCTAGAGCCCTGAGTTCAAGGCCAGGAACAGCCTCCAGCCTGCATAGAGGCCCTCTGGGGCAGCCACATCACTGCTCTGCTGGAGTCTGGGCTTGGGGAGCTAAGAAAGCCAGGCCAGGGGTGCAGGGCACAGGACGGGACATCCCAACCCCCGATGGGTCCATGGGAGAGTGGGGTCTCAGGTGCTTTAAAGTATCAGTGGCCGCCAAGGCTTTGGCCGAGGATGGACTTCTGCTGGTTCCCACGTCATGATGCTGGGCCCAACAGGCCTCTCGCCCCACAGGCAGCTGATTCCACCTCAGACCAAGATACGATACAGCAGGGGATTCAGTGGCCAAGTGTCCAATTAAGAAAAGGGGTGGAGAAGGTGCTGGGACCTCTGGGCTCACACTGCAGGTGTCCACAGTCGTCACTCCAGCCCTGGCCAATACCTAAAGTGTGCCAGGTATCCAGAGGAGAGAGTCTGGCTGCCCACCGTCTGTAGAGCTTGAGCCCCCACACAGGGCCTAACCTGTCTGGAGCTGGGCAGCCACTCAGGCTTCCATGACCACCCCAGGTCCAAGGTTTAAAGCTGTTTCACCAGGGAAAGGTGGCCAAGCCCAAACTGCTCCCAGCATACCTCCACGCAGAGGTCCCACCTCAGGGCCCACACGAGACCCCCCACCAGGACGAGAGCCAACAGGCTGCAGGGCACACCCACAAGAGCCCACCACTGCTGTGGAGACAGCCTCATGCCGGCTGGCCCGGCCATCAGCTGTGGGCCCCCTCGTCCTCGTCACTGTCACTGCTCTGTGAAGGCGCTCCAGGGCTCTCAGGGCGATGCAGCTCCAGGAAGCTGGTGATGAGCTTGGCAACAGCATCCACATCACTGGATGAGGCGGCAGACAGGCCGTCAGCACCGCTGCCCTGCCCTCCCCACCCCAAGCCTGGGAGAGGCCCACACCGATGTCTTCCACAGACACACGCACACATGGAGTCTCCCACAGGACACATACACGGAGCCTCTGCACCCCCAGGACAGACAGACACACAAACACACACACAAACATGTGGAGTCTGCCGCAGAACATGTGCACACACACACGGGGCCTCTGCACCCCCAGGAGACAGACACACACGGAGTCTGCCACAGGATGCAAACACACGGAGCCTCTGCACCCCCAGGACAGACACACAGACACACACACAAACATGTGGAGTCTGCCGCAGAACATGTGCACACACACACGGAGCCTCTGCACCCCCAGGACACAGACACACAAACACAGAGACAAACATGTGGAGTCCGCCACAGAACATGTGCACACACACACGGGGCATCTGCACCCCCAGGAGACAGACAAGAGACACAAACATGGAGCCTCTGCAGTCCCCATGACACAACCCCACCGACATCTCTGTCTCTCTTTCTCTCTCTCTCTCATACGCACACACGGCCCCCACTACTCCCCAGGCAAACCACAGAGTCCCCCACAATATGTGCTTGGTCGGCCACTCACCTCCGGTGGCCCATGACAGCATTCTGGGTAAGAGGGTGTGAGAAGCCCGTCACAAACCGCAGCACCACCATGTAGCCCTTCCCAAAGTACCGCACCTTCTCCTCCTCAACATTCACATCCCGGATGTCGCTCAGCAGGACCACCACTGTGGGCACAGGTCAGCAGCAACTCACCTCTCCCCATCACGCCAGTCTGCACGTGAGGCTAACCCTCACCACACAGCCAGGAGCCTGCACCTAAGTGTACTCACAAACCACAGCAACCACGAGGGGCCCTGGTCCTAGATGGCACGTGACAGGTGACCCTCATGTCACGGCACATACAGCAATTCAAGGGAACAGACCACTGGTCCCTCCTAGCCCAGGTGAGGGGACAACACGTGTTACCCCAACCCAGGTGAGGGGCCATCAGGTGACCACGGTTGGCATCACCCCTAGTATGGTTGAGAGACCACAACATTGACCATGGTGGGCATATCAGCCCCCCACGGGCTCACTGGTCTCCGTGGAGACAGCTGTCTGCTCTGTTCTACCACCAGTCGTACACATGCTCCACTCTGCTTTCTTCATGGCCCTAGTCACAGAAGTGCATTCCTGACCCTGAGGGATGGGGGCCCATGCTTCAATGGCAGCTGTGGTGAGACCCTACTCAGGTACCCAGAGCAGCCCCCCTTGGTCCTGACACCCTGCTGTCCATCAACCACCTCAGCACAAGCCCCACAGAGACCCCAAAGCCTGAGACCAGGTAGCACATCTATCTCCCTGGATCCCTGCAGGTCTAGCCTCCAAGGAATCTGCTCTAAGCTCAGTAAACTGGGTAAAAGCGATTAACCCCTAAGACAGGTGCCGCGAACCAGAAGCCACCCGGTGCTTCCTTGAGCGTTTTGCCAAACAAGATGTGCCCATGATAGAGAAATGGAGCAACTGAGAAGCGGGGCGATACACAGGGCCAGCATCTGTGACAGAGAAGTGAGACGGCGATACGCAGGGGCAGCATCTGCGATAGAGAAGTGGGAAGAGCGATACACGGGCAGAGTCCATGATAGAGAAGTGAGGGGGGCCAATATGCAGGGGCAGCGTCTGCGACAGAGAAGTGGGAAGAGCGATACATGGGGCAGCGTCTGCGTTAGCTACGCAGGGGCAGTCCGTGACAGAGAAGTGAGGGGGGCAATACGCAGGGGCAGCGTCCGCTGGATCCCTGCTGAAGCACAGGCCCTCCTGGGTGAGCAGTCAAGGGCACGGACTCCTCTTAGGGTCCTCCCTGCAGGCACTAGCTGGCCTCTGGGGGGGCCAGTGCACCCTCACAACAACAGGAATAGAAGAGACTAGAGAGCACACTCGGCAGCCCTCTGTGCAGGCCTCTGCCCACACCTCACCTTGCTCGTGGCCAGCTCTGCAGAGGGTCAGCAGCTTGCGGTACAGGCTGTATGTCTTCAGCACAACCTTCCCGGTGCTCTTGTTGAAGATAGCTTCCTGGAAACACAACCAGAAGGCATCAGTCCTGTGATGGGCTCTCTGTCCTGTCCACGCCACCGCCTCCAAGTCTGAGGCCCATCATGCACGCCGCCGCTCCCCCAAACACCTCACACGGGCCACCCATATGGGAGCCATGGTCAAGCACAGCCTGCCAGGCGCTGCCCCAACTGCATCAGGAATATTTGGTGGGGTCTGACCTCTGCACCCCTGAAGCTCCAGGCATCTGGGAACCTAGGGACAGTCGAAGCCACACAGCTGCTCATTCAAAACAAAGAGCAGAGTGACATGCCATCAAGTTGGAGAAAGAGGGTGGGGGGTGCCAGCACCACAGGGATTTGTGAAGACCACGGGAGAGGAACCAGCACTGGGCACGCCGAATCGCCCACATTCCAGGCTGTGGCAGCGTCCAGGAGTAAAGGAGGAGGAGTGTCACCAGCCCACGGCCGTCAGGACCCTCACAGTGCTGCCAAAGCCCCCGAATGGGCAAGAGGAGCAAGCCATGAGCAGGTGGAGGCCGGTCAGCATGGAGCCAGAAAGGCAACTGGGCTGAGACACAGACCTGGGGGTGCGGGATACCCTGCACCTAGGGAGCTGACTGCCCCTTACCTCCCAGTCCTCCAGGTTCTGCACCGCCACAAACAGGCAGCCCGTGACGTAGAAGAGCTTCCAGCCCAGGCTATCTGCAGGGGAGACGGAGCTGATTCGTGAGGGAGCTGAGCAGAGCAGCCACAGCTGTCCCACAGGGGAAGCCACAGAGGGCGGGACCCCCTGCGCTCCTGGACCCCTTATACGCAACACAAGTGACAGGCACGGAGCTTACCTCCACTGTAGTAAGCAGCGGCCAGGCCAATGGACAGGATCCCTGCAGAGCAGAGTGCGCCTTAGGTCCTGGGAGCATAGCCTCAGGAAGCAGGCCCTTCCTGAAGCCAAGGACAGCTGAGGCCAGACAGGGGGACAGGACAGTAGCAGGGGCTGAGGGAGCAGAGTCCAGAAGTCTGTCTACAGACATAATGAAACCTTTACAGACACTTGTCTACAGTCACGAGAACAAGAGGGTGTCCTGGCGTGAGACAAAGCCAAGGCCCTAGGGAGTCACAGCTCAGTGTGTAAGGGCCAGCAGGGGCCACACACGGAGCACACTGGCACCTCTCCCCACATCTTTTCAGGACAGGGGCAGGCCTGATGAAGGGACGCGAGGGTAGCCCTTTGGAACTGTTCCAGCCTCATCACCCCAAGAAACAGTCAATTTGGCTTGTTCACCAGACCTTGAGTAACACCTGCGGACAGAGCCCAAGTCACATCTTTCAACAGACGAAACCAGAAAGTGCTGAGGCTGTGAGGTAGTAGCCTGTGAGCAGGCTGTGTCTGAGCCTGAAGAGAAAACCTGGACCTCAGAAAAGAGCAGGCAGTGCAGACAAAAAGGCACGTGGTGCTAAGAACCACAAGGGACCTATCTGTTAGGTTTGTAGGATAAAACCATAAAAGGACACAAAGGAACGGATGAGCTGCCGTTATCCACGGCTGCACGCTGCAGGGAGGAGGGAGAACGACAGACTGACTGTCTGTGGAGAGACGCCAAAATCCTTACCGACCAGGAGGGACCAGGACCTGATACCCGGAGCCCGCGTCAGGTGGAGGCAGGAGCGTGTGCGCACCTCCACCTGCATGTACATCCTGGAAGATGCCGGCACCACTCTCAACTGGACACAGAGCCTGGGGAGAAAGGGACACAGATGCAGAGGCCACTGACCAGAGACAAGCATCTACCTCCTTTTCAGGGGCCAGTCGACCAGCCAGGGCCCCCAAGAGTCGAAGATCCAAGCAGCTGTGGCGAGTGGGTACTGGTCCCCGTGAGGCCGCTAGCTCAGCATCTGTGTCCCACAGAGACCTCAGCCTCCAGGAAACCAACATCACCTGTAGCCCTCACGCTTCCGGGGCCTCCGCAGCCAAACCCTGTTGGCCCTCCATAGGCTGCCAGCAAAAAGGAACCAAAAGAGAAAGAAAAGAGATCCTACTTTGCCTTTTTTTTTAAAATAAAAATACCACCTTGCTGTGTGCCATCATATCGGATCTGACTGCCCCTCCTTCCCCAGCAGAGCATCTGGTGGATTCAAACCGTGAACCTTTGGGATTGCAGTGCAGATCCTTGTCACTAGGCCACTAGAGCTCACTCATATTTTGCTTTTTTTAAAAAAAAAGAAAGAAAAAGTCATATTGTCAAAGCTCATCATAGTTTTGGTCCAGCCGCTAGGACAGAAGGCTTGAAGCTGAACAAGGAGATTCAAGGAGCGGTGTCTGCAGAGAATCCGGGAACAGCTCCAACAGCAACCCGAATTTCCACCACCAGAGCCCGGGTCCTGGGCAGATCCTCAGATATTTCCCTAATGTGTACTGCCACACTGCCACCCAGCTGCAACCTATTCGGCCAACCCTCCATTGGGTTTCTGAGATATTTAAGAGTTGCTGAACTGCTGAGAAGCTGACTTCTAAGAGCTTTTGAAGAAACCACACAAGCTAACCCGAGATCCCTGCCTGACACTACTCCAGTTTCCACACACAGCCTCTCGCACAGGGAAGGTCTAGCAGAGCGCGGGTCTCCCAGCGGTTACACACTTGTTAAAGGTGTGTAACAAATACGGTTACCTCTCCAAGAAACAACACGTGAGTGGATGTGTGTGTGTGAAACTGCGGAGTGAGGTCCCACAACACAGAATCCCAGGTCTGTGCAGGACACTCGGACAGAGCAGTGTGAGGACAGGCCAGAGGACCTGCGATTACAGAAAGACGTGCTCTCTGCTCCCGAGCTGTCGCCACTAGGAGCAGGGCCGAGGCGCCGGCCGTCAGAAACGGGAACTGCCTCTTCCCGCCCTGAGGCCGCCTGGGGCGCTTCCCGGATGTCCAGCGGGCACCGCCCTCCATCAGCCAAGCCCGGCCTCCCACCCCGCGTCCATTCAAACGAACGGCCACACTCGGCGAGGCGCCAGTGCGAACTGTAGGCTCGGCACCCGCAGGGTCGGGGGGGCGCGCCAACGTGTCTCCCCGAAACTTCTCTCCCTGTGTAGCGAGAGCACGGGACACCCCCCCAGCCTCGCCTCCCCCTGCAGAACCACCGGCCGAGCCAGGGCAAAGGCGCCTACCCAGCAGGTGTCCAGCTCGAAGCCAACCTGGACCCCGCAGCGGAGGGGAAGGCGGGAGGACACTCACTGCCGGACTCGCCGGGGTGGGGACCGCGCTGATTTCCGTACTCGAGGGGCGCACTTCCGGACACACGGGGGCGGGGACAACAGTGACTTCCGGACACGCGGGGCGGAACGACGCTGACTTCCGGACACGCGGGGGCGGGGACAACGGTGACTTCCGGACACGCGGGGCGGAACGACGCTGACTTCCGGACACGCGGGGGCGGGGACAAGGCTGACTTCCGGACACGCGGGGAGGCGAAGATCCTGGCTGAGAACTTTGCGAATATTCACTTCTCACGCGGAGACCGAGAGGGTGATCGTGTGCGGATCACTGTCCGCGTTTACTGCTGAACTTCCTGGATTTTTATTGTTATGGAGTCGCTTTGAACCCTTCTCTTGAGCCAGCCTCATTGTCTTTGACACACCGACCTCTATTAACCCCAGACACTTGAGTCAATCCATCTCATCCTAGGTCTTCCTCTTCTTGCGCTGTCCCTGCACTCTTGTAAGATTGACGTCCCTCTCCAAGGACTGATTCCTCCTGGCAACATGCCCAAAGCATCTCAGACGGAGCTTCAGAATCTTAGCCTCCAAGGAGCGGTCTGGTTTTCTCCTCTCCAGGACAAACCTGTTTGTTCTCCTAGCAGTCCATGGTATATTCAATACTCTTCTCCAGCAAAGGCATCAATTCTTCTATTGGCCTTCGTCACTGTCCAGCTTTCTTATGCATAGCAAGTAATTGCGAAGACCATGGCTTGGATCAGGTGCACCTTAGTCTCTAGACCGACACCGGTGCTCATCAGTACTCGGAGAGGTCTCTGACAGCAGATTTTTCCAATACAATTTGTCTTTTGATTTTCTGGCTGCTCATACCAAGACTGTGGATTATGGAGCCAAGGAAGCTGAAGATGTTAACAATCTCTTCATCTGTCATGAGGTTGCCAATCAGCCCAGTGGTGAGGATCTTTGTTTTCTTGATGTTGAGCTTCAGTCCACATTGAAGGCTGCAGTCCTTGAACTTCTGCAGTAAATGCCTCAGGTCCTCAGTTTCAGCAAGCAAGGTTATGTCATCTGCATAACACAGGTTGTTGATGAGTTTTCCTCCAGTCCTGATGCCACATTCCTCCTCAAAGAGCTCAGCCTTCCGCATAATCTGTTCTGCATATAGATTGAAAAGGTACGGAGATAGGATGCATCCCTGAAATACACCCTTATTGATTTTGAAACATGCAGTGTTTTCTTGCTCTGTTCTGATGACTGCCTCCTGGTCCAAGCATAGGTTTGACATGAACACAACCAAGATGTTCAGAATTCCCATTCCTCTCAGAGTCAGTCACAGTTTGTCATAATCCAGTCAAATGCCTTTCAAATGTGTAGTCAATGAAACACAGATAGACATTCCTCTAGTGCTCTCTGCTTTCAGACAAGATCCACCTACTGTTGGCTATAATATCACTAGTGTCATCACCTCTTCTAACCCAACCTACACATCTGGAAGTTCTCTGTTAATGGGCTGTCTCAGTAATTTTTTTTTTATCATTTAGAGCATGTGATATTAATGTTATCTTTTGATAATTTCTGTGCTCTGTGAGGTCACCTTTTCATGGAACGAAAACAAATGTGGTTCTCTACAGTCAGTTGGCAAGGTGGTTGTCGTCTAGATTTCGTGGCACGACTTGGTAAGCGTGTCCAGGGCAGCATCTTTTTATTGAAATATGTCAATGTGTATGCCGTCAATTCCTGAGGAACTTCCTCTTTTGTCACCACGGGCTCTTGACCATATGAAATTTTTCTGGGAGCTCTGGTGTCGTAGTGGCAAGAAGCTGTTCTTGCAATCCATAAGGCATGTGGTTTGAATCCACCAGCTGCTCTCAGGAGAAAGGATGGGCTATCTCCCGTGCACTTAACTGCCTCTAAAAACCCACCTGAGGGTCAACTATGGTTCCTGGAATGGGAGACTAGTAAGTCCTCTCTTGTGTGTGTGTCAGAGCAAATGAAGTACAGTTAGAGAACAGGGACCCCAGACTTCACATCACTACATACAGACACCACCTGAGGCAGGGATATTAAAACCTTAAAGCTTATGCAAAGTTATGTAAACGAGACCTCTTTTTTTTAAAAAAAAAAAAACAAACCCAACTTTTAAAAAATACTAAAACATCTATAACCAAGTTTAATAAATGGTGTCAAGAACTGCCTGAACCAATTCTGATCAGTTCATTGGAAACAAGGGTAGCAATATATGGTCCATAGCAACCAATACTTAAATTTTGCCTGTGGTTCGGTATTGCTTCTGTTAGCCACAGTTTTTTCAAAGGCCTGCAATTTAACAAATGGATTGTGAGTTCTGCTACTCAGTCTGTTTCCACCTAGACGCTCCAGTGAAAGCTGTACACCCTGCTGGTATTTTAAATACCAGTGGCATTGTTTCCAGCATTACAACAAATCACCCTAGTAAAGCAACTGACAGTGACCACTATCTACTTCATCTATGTTGTTCACATCATTCAAGAAGCTTGACTCAAAGAAAAATGCTGCATCAGAATTGGAGGAAAACTCATCAACAACTTGCATTGTTGATACAAACTTGCTTGCTCAAAGTGAGGACTTAAAATGCTTTCTGCAGAAGATCAAAGAATATAGCCTTTAATATGAGTTATAACTCAATATTAAGAAAACAAAAATTCTCACCAGTAGACCAAAAGGCAACATTGTGATAGATGGAGAAAAGATTGAAGTGGTGAATTATTAATTTCATTTTACACCTGGGGCAGAAGTAGTCAAGAAATCAAAAGACGTGTTGCATTGGGAAAATATGCTGTCAAGGACATATCCAAGCTGATAAAAACTAAATGATAAAGTCTTTAAGACTAAGGTGCACCCAAAACAAGTCAAGCTATTTTTCAATTGCTTTTTATGCATCTGAAAATTGGACAGTGAATGATGATGGCCAAAGAAGAACCAATGCTTTTGAATTGTTGTCTTAATGAAGAATACAGAATATTCCATGGACTGACCAAAGAACAACACAATCTATCTCAAAGGAATTTCAACCAGATTGTTGCTTAAAGGCAAGGATGATGAAACTCTGTCTTACAAATTTTGGACAGGAGTGGCAAGTCTTTGGAAAAAAAGGATACTGTGGTGGGAAAGGTGGCAGGTCAGAGGAAGCTAAGCTGGATTGACACAGGGACTGTAGCAATAGGTCCAAGCATATCAGAGACAGTGAGGGTGGCACAAGATAGGACAAGGTTCACACCTGTTCTTCATAGGGTCATTAGGAGTTGTTGTCAACTGCATAACACATAACAAGGTGTTGCCTGTTGGACTGCTAATATCCAGTCCACTAGTTTTTCTGAGTAAGCATTAACATAATCATGGTGAGTTCGGTTTTTGTTTTGCTTAAGAGACTGGGAAAAGCAGCTGTCCCTCACTCAAGAATGATCACTTAGAAACCCTGATGGAATCCACCAGTCTCTCCAGGAGAAGGATATGACAGTCTGCTTCAGTGAAGCTTTCCACCCTTGTAAATCTTGTGAAAATGGCACAGGATAGGACATGGTTCAGATCTTTTGTTCATGGGGTTGCTATGAGTCAGACTCGACTCAACGGCACCTAACAGCAACAAACCCTGTGAGGCAGTTCTCCGTTGTCCTTTGGGGTGCTATGAATTGTACCTGCAGTGCGATGAGCATTGTTTTTAGGGCCTAACAGATAGCATCTTGCTCCATTGCTCTCTTTCTCTGCTGCTGCAGCTGTTCTGAAATGAGGGCTGTCCTGCACTGTGCTAGGCATTGCTCTCCACATCAGAATCCAAAGACATCCTTCTGTTTCTCACCAGAAAAGGTACAGAGTGCCCTGCCTGGAATCAAAGCCACCTTCAGTGGTCAAAAAGATGAGAAAACATAGTATTATGGTATTGATGTTTTGGGAGTTCCCCCCCCCCCAAAAAAAAGACTTTTCTAGCTCTTATCTTTGACTTGCACTCTTACATGGGGAAGAACGTGTAATAGTGTATGAGCTAATTCTTTTGGGATTAATCACATTCTCCCATATCACCAAGTTTAACGAACAGATTTAGCAGCAACAGGTGGCATCTCACTACCAGCAAGGAAGCAGCAACAGAGAGCGTAGCATGCATCCCTCAGGGCCAGAGAGTTCTGTGCCAGTCAAAGGAACACATGCAAAAACAGCAGCCACCTCAGTGGTGAACCAAACACCAGCCTGAGAGAGCTGCCCCACGAGCTGGAGCCAGAGGTCTTCCCTGAAGATTGCGGAGGACTGGGGATGGGAGGGGACAACAGACACATAATTGACAGGACTAAGGAAACTTCGTAACACTGACCTAAACCGTGAGACTGGAGGGCCTGTGGGCATGCTTCATTCAAAAGCTGTTCTGAGGAACTGTATCCTATCCCCAACCTGAATTATAACCTGTTAATAACATCCCTAGCAGATTTCCTAACTGTGAGAGTATGGTTCTGTAGATGTTGGTCATAGCAAGGAATTTCGGAGCCAGTAGTAGAGAAATACCATTGAGGGTGGAATTAGAAGTAGGTGCAAGAGCATGGAGGTCATGCCAGAAATGATGGGGACTGGTCTGGTGCAGTGGATGTTGCTGGGAGATTGGTTCCCCTTGTGACAGACAGTATAGAGGGTGGATGCATCCCCCATGCCACCTATACTCTGCACAGAAAATGGAGTGGAGCTTGGATTTCTATTCACTATTACTTTTTTTAAAAATTCACTATTACTTTTTATAACTGGCATCAGCCGCTAGTCAAGGAGCATAACGAACAAATGGGGTTACCAGTCTCCTAAACATTTATGCTCTTTGCCCCGAGTTCTCAAATTGGAGTGGCATCAGAATTGACCAGAAGGCTTGTTAAAGCAGAACGCTCGGTCAGTTCCAGCATTTCCAAGGACTTGAGGGGCTGGTGATTCTGGTCCTGAGACCACACTGATAACTACCCTCAGCTCATGGCCCATCTCTTTGAAGTGATGTCCCTGATAAAACCCTACATTTTGACGAATCAGTATATTTTAAAGGGGGAAAAAACCCTCTTAATGGAAACAATCATTATCCTTTACATCCGCGGACTCCGTAAGATCGCCAACGTCAAAAGAAGGCAAATGCCAACCCCCTCCCGCCGAAAGGTGCGCGTGCGCACTGGCCTCGGCCTCCCCGCGACAGTGCGGGACCGGCGGGGCAACTCCATGACGCCGTGGGAAGGCGATGGCGGCGGAGAGGACAGCATCCAGATGTCCGCTGAAAGTGCCCACCGGAGCAGCCAAGCTCGTGGTCCTGGAAAGTCCCCAGGACACATGCCCTCAGATCTCCACAGTTTCCCGCCCCTCGTGCTCCGCCCTGACACATTGATTGGCTCTCAGCTCTGTCTCGTCCCTTCTCAGACCTCTCATTGGCCTGGACTGAGCACTTTGCGGGTGGAGCCACACAGCAGCTATACGATCTCTTATTGGCTCCATCGTATCCCCGCCCCTTCCCTGTGTCCTGATTGGTCTCTCTTAAGCGGCGTGGGGGTGGGGTCATGCCACCTCCAGGCTGGGGGCGAGGACAACAAAGGGTTGCGGGCGGCGGCGGCCGTGACCCGCGTCTCCCGCTCTTCCTTCCAGACCTGGTCCTCTGCCCTTGTGCTCCTGCCCGCTCCCCGGGACCTCCAGATGAAGTGTGAGCACTGCACGCGGAAGGTGAGTGCCCCTTCCCGGAGCCGGGACGAGGACCGGCCGGGCTGGTGAGGGCCGAGCCAGTTTCCTTGTCCTGTAAGGCGGTCACCCCGGGAATCCAGGATGGTGGGCCGGGCTGTTCCGCGAGGAGGCCAGGGCCGAAGGTCGGGCTGTTTGTCCTGTGCTGGAGCCAGACTGTCGGTCTGTCTAAAGGGCTCGGGGCCGAGGGTCAGTGTTTTTGCCCCGAGAAGGGCCTGGAGACTCGGTCCAGAGAGCCGGTCCAGTTGGCCTGGACCTGCTGGGTGGTGATCTGGTTCTTGGCGCCTGGCCGCCCCCAAGGGAGGTCACTCGCGGTCGGTGGTGCGCCAAACCTGGCCAACGGACAGGGGTCGTTGGTGGTCGGGATTCCCGCGGTCCTCGGGCGCCGGCCAGCGTGGACAGCTGCCCATGAGCCCCATGTCCGAGCGCCTGGTTCATATTCGGCATGTCTGCGATGAGCACTGATGTTCGTGATTTTCAGCCCACTCGTCAGTGCTTTCTCGTGCCCCCGAGGAATTTTAACCACAGAAGCCGAAGCAAAGCCGCATGATCCTCCCCTGCTGGCCCTCGGGTCAGTCCCACCACTGAAGTGAGCAGGGCAGAGGTTTAATGGCGGGGAGGGGTCAGGCTGCTTTAAGTAAAAATTGGCGTGCCCCTTAACATAGTCCCTGCTGACAAGTCTCCATCCGCACAGCTGTGGGCAGCCGCTGGTCTCTGCCTGCCTGGAGTCCCAGGAAACAGTCAGTAGGACTAGTGCACCACGTGACACGCAGCCTCCTTGCCCCTGAGACCAGAACTGGATGGGGCCCAGTGGCTGCTAGCAACCACTGAGGTCCTGGGAGGGGGAAATGCAGAACAGAATTAAAGACCAAGCGTACTTGTGTGTCACAGGCCAGAGAAGGACTCTTGAGACAGCCCCAGGTCTAGAAGGAAGACCACCATCTCCGCAGATCATCTTTTCAGCCAAACAGCAGATAGACCTGTAACATTTACTGAACTCCCAGGCCTGCTCACAGAACCAAAAGGGATGCATTTGCCAAAAATAAAGCTCAGAAAGCAGAAGGTGCAGGAGAGGCCTGATGAAAACAGGGAACCCAGGCAAGGTTTACATCCAGGAGGTTGTATGTAATATGTGAGTGAAACAAAATGTGTCAATTGTTGGATGGGAAACCAATTTCTAAACTTACAGTAAAAAAGGACAAGCAAACACCAAGCATCTAAATAATTAGTAAGCATTAATCCATAAATTTTAAATCATATTCCTTAACGTAATAGTGTGCCTGCACATCATATGGTATTACAGGCCATCGATTGGAACTGACTCACAGCTGACCCTCCAGTGGGTTTTCAGACGCTTTTGTAAGGGAGGTTATTATCCATATTTCTCCTGCAGAGCAGCTGGTGTATTCGAACCGCATGCCTTTGGGTTGGCAGCATAGCTCCTTACTGCTAGGCCAAATACCCAACTGCATCTTGTAGTACTCTTAAATATCAGCCAGGAATGTGCATGTCAGCTAACAATACAAGCCAGTAGAGGTGTCTGAATAGTCAACTCAAATTCTAAAAAACCCTGACATGCTTCATGGGTAAAAAGTCACAAACGGGCGGGGTGCACACAGTGAACCTTTCCCCCTCTCCTTGGCTGCCCCACCCTCCAAAAGGTGATGCCTGATAGAAAGGTTTGATGTTAGCCAGCCCGTTTGTGAGCTTTGATAGCTTTCCTAACATCAACTGTATGCCTGAAATATTTGATTTCAAAAAGTTGGATTACATAGAGGTCATCCTGTTTTCAGGCTGGGGTCTCTTTTCACTCTGCATTACTTGAGGCATCTAGCCACTTTGCTTATAATTACAGATGTAGCCACTGTCCTCTTGATGGAAGCCTTGTGTCTTCTCATAGTTACTTCAGACAGTGTGCATGCAAGTAAATCTTAGCAGGTGCTACCATTTCTGTAGAAAAGGTCCTAGACATAAGGCTGAATGGCCGAAGGGTGTCTGAGTTTCTTTGGTAGATATAAGCCAATAGACAAGATCAGTTTGAGTTGCTCCCAGCTTGTGACAAGCGTCCATTGGGAATGGACTCTCTCCATTTCTCTCCCACAAGCTGGTTGATTCAGCCCCTCAGACAGTGCAGCACACTGTGCCCCAGAGCCTCCCTTAGGGGGTTTGGTAGGACTGAACACTTCTTTAATATACCTTCTTGCTTCTTTAAGGAATGCAGTAAAAAGTCGAAAACTGATGACCAGGAAAATGCAGCGGTTGATGCAACGAGTCCGGCCCAAGAGAAGGAAGAAGTAAGTATATTTTCAGTTTCCTTTCAGACTGGATGAAACTGCTACTGCTGCCTGCCCCTTACCTGTGACTTCTGACAGGTGGGGACTCCTGCCCCTTACCTGTGACTGCTGACAGCGCTGCATACATGTATTTGGGAATACAGTTCAATTCATGAAACTGTGTTTTGGGGTTTTGTTTTGTGTGTTTTTTTCAATTTAAATAAAATTTTCATTTTATAGTGGTTTATTTACAAAGTTCATATACATTGTTTTTCCCACCAGATCTTTCCCATTTCCTTTACCCACTCCTCCTTCCACCCATCACATTGCGCGGCCCTATGATTAACCCCTCCCCCTCCCCCGCCCATCCCCACCAAACAGCTCCCCCCTCGCCCCTTGTATCCTCATACTTGTACTACAATAATGGTCTTATACAGTATTTGTCCTTATGAGACTGAGTTAGTTCACTCAGCATAATGCTCTCCAGTCCCTCCCAAGTTAGGCGGCAATTTACAAAATCATTGCTCCTGCGTGCTGCATAGTATTCCATCGTGTGAGTGTACTATAATTTCTCAGTGCACTTGATTGTGGTTGGACATTTGGGCTGTTTCCATTTTCTTACGATGGTGAATAACGCTGCAATGAACATTGATGTACAAGTCTCCATTTGTGCCTCAGTTCTCATTTTCTCGGGGTATATTCCAAGCAGTGGAATAACTGGGTCATATGGAATGTCTGTGTTCAGCTTTTTGAGCAAGTGCCAAACTGCCTTCCAGAGTGGTTGTACCATTTTACAGTCCCGCCAACAATGTATAAGTTCCTATCTCTCCACATCCTCTCCAGCATTTATTACTTGCTGCCCTGTTAAACTTTGCCACTGCTACTGGAGTGAGATGGTACCTCATTGTGGTTTTGATTTGTATCTCTCTTACTGTCAGTGATTTGGAGCATTTCTTCATGTGTCTGTTGGCCATTCGAATGCTTTCCTCTGTGAAAAGTCTTTCTATGTCTTTTGCCCATTTTGTAATTGGGTTATCAGTCTTTCTCTTGTGGAGGCCCTGTAGGATTCTGTAAACTTTTGATATGAGATCTTTGTCTGAAATGGTATTGCCAAATGTTTTTTCCCAGTCAGTAGGTTTTCTTTTTTGTGTCTTTTTCCAGTTCAGTTGCTGAGTATTTTTGGGTTTTGTTTTGTTTTTTTAATTTTATTTTTTGTGGGTGTACCGTCAAATCAGATCTGACTGGTACGGGAGGAAATTGTCCTTCCTTCCTTCTTCAGCAGAGCATCTGGTGAACTCGAACCACGTACCTCTGGGATTGCAGTGCAGCTTCTTGCCACTAAGCCACTAGAGCTCCCTGTATTTTTGGGTTTTAACCGCCCTCGTGTGGTAGTGGTGATTATCTTTAACTACGTGTCCTGTACAGGTCTCACATACTATCTCACTGGGCCCTGTGGTCCTTCCAAGACTGTTTTCCTTCAGTGGGTTTTCTTTTGAAGTTATGTAGTCCAAATATGTCATTTACTGTTAAGAACATGCCCTGTTCTGTGGTCCTGTGCAGGTTTGGGGGAGTCAGAAGGGGTGAGCCCAGTGCCCTGAGTACCATCCAGAGGGGATACTTTGGGCCTGCAGCCAGTGTCCCGGGCAGCAGGTCAAGCCCTTCCCCCATGGATCTTGGACAGACACCCGAACCAGAAGTACGCTGGCTCCTTAGCTGGGAAGCAGGAGTTAGCTGCGCTCAGGAGATAAGGCTTCTGCTGGCCTGGCTTGGGCCTGGTCAGCTCAGGGAGTGGAGACGCGTCCAAGTGGTGGTTTAAGATGAACACACTCAGCAGAGAACACCCAGGTCAGGACAAGCAGCTCTGGCTCTGTGGTGACTTGGCAGCCCGGGGTTAGGAGTTCAGTCCATGAAGTTCCAGTAACAAAGCAAAAGCTTTTTCTCAAAAGGATACTAGTTCTTAACAGAGAATGGCAGGACGTTGCTTCACAGTCTCCGGTCTGCTAGGATTCACCTGTGGGGGCCTTCCAGAGAGAGACTTCAGACAGCATCTCTAGTTACTGTTGATGGTTAAAGCATCATTGGATCTTCTGGGCCGTGTGAGCCAAGTCCCAGAGTAGCTTGCACCACCCCCTGAACCTATTGCAGAGCCTTTTCCTTCTGGGCCCCACTTTAATTTTTTTTAATCACTTGATGAATAAAAGTATTTGACTGCGTGGATCTTACCAAGTTATGGCTGACGTTGAGAAGAATTGGGATCTCAGAACACTTATTTGTACTCATGTGAAACCTATACCGAAACCGTGAAGGAGCTCTGTAAACAGTGCACGGTTTAAAATCAGGAGAGGTGTGTGTCAGGGCTCTGGCCTCTGAACACCTGTTCTGTCTGTGTGCTGAGCACATCATTCAAGAAGCTAGGTGTCGTGTCATGGGTGGTGGCTTTATGGTTTCAAATGATTTTCCTAACCGTCAGCTTTGACTTCCACCATGTAACTAGGATGGACCTTAAATCAGGTATGTATAAAGTAAGCATTGTGAGATTGGTCGCTTTCCCCATCCCACCAAGTTAAATTAAGCAGGCTAATGGCAAATGAGGAAGCAGAGAGAGAGTGTGTCCTTCAGGCCAGAAATTCTGTGCCACCAGACCAGGACCTACAAGGGAGCCGTAGCAGCCTGAGCAGAGAGCCAGAGACCGACATGAGACAGCTGACTTTGACTGCTGCCCCACTGAGCCAGGGCTGGGGCCTTTGCCCGCTTGCTGGAGGACCGAGGGAACATTGTAACACTGCGCTAAGTCATGAGGCTTAAGGTCAGAGGTCCTGCACGCTGGGCTGAAGAATTGTACCCTGCTTCCAACCTGAATTTAACCAGTTACCCTCCTTAATAAACCCTATAACCGTGAGTACCGTCTGTGAGACCTGTGTGGTCATGACAACAGATTTTTGACACAGTGGGGCAGTGTGATTGGTGTTGGAATTAGTAGAAGTGGGTGCGGGACCATGGAGACCATGTCTGACCTTACAGGAATTGGTTTTGTGCTGTGGGTGTTGTGGACGGGGACAGTGCCGTCCTGTGGAGCTAGTGGAGATCGGATACGGACATCTCCATGCTGTCTACACTCGTACTGAATTTGATAAAGATGAATGTGGATCAGGTTTGGAGGGAGATGCATTAACCACTTGTGTTGTGCTGATGACACAACCTTGCTTTCAGAAAGTGAATTCCACTTGAAGCACTTGCTGAAGATCAAAGAGCCTTCAATATGTATCACAGCTCAACATCAAAAAAAGAAAAATCCTTACCATTGGACCCACAGGCAACGTCATGAGAGATGGAGAAAAGAGAGGATGTCAGTGACTTCATTTGACTTGGACCCACAATGAAGAAATCAAAAGACATGGTTCTTTGGGAAAATTTGCTGTCGAAGACGGACCCAACATGCTAAAGATCTCAGGTTAAAAACTAAGATGCGGGGAGCTCTCGTGGCCTAGTGGCAAGAAACTGCACTGCAGTCGCAGAGGTATGCAGTTCAAATCCACCAGATGCTCTGCTGGAGAAGGAGGGTCAATCTCCTCCTGTACCAGTCAGATCCGATTTGACGGTACACACACAAAAATAATAAAGATTTTTCTTAAAAAAAACAAAACCCACAAAAACTAAGATGCATCTGATCCAAGGCTTGGTATTCTTAGCTGCTTCCTGTGCCTCTGAAAGTGGGACAGTGAATAAAGAAGACTGAAGAAGAATTGATGCCTTGAATGGTGCTCTTGAAGAGTCCTGACTGCCCTGGCGTGGACTGCCAGAAGAACAAACAAGTCTGTCTTGAAGGAAGTGGAACCATCACACTCCTTAGAGGCAAGGATGGAACTTCACCTCCCTTTGGGTGTATTCTCAGAAGCCAGTCTGTGGAGAGACACACCATGCTAGGAAAGGCAGAGGGTCAGTGAGAGAGAAGAGGGCCATCAGGGAGCTGGAGTGTCACAGTGAAGGCCAGCAGACGAGCAGGACAGAGAAGCGGGGTGCAGGGCGGCGCACGGTTCAGGGCTGCTGCTCATAGTCCCTCAGGGTTTGGATTTGGTCTCAGTTCCACTCGTGCTTTTGTTGGTGATCTTCCTGAGGAAGCAGTTCTGAAAGCGCTGTTGCGAAGAACCAGGGGGAAAATACTGTTCCTCTTTTGTAGAAAGGAGAGTTCCATAAGTTGGCTGACGCCAAAATATTTCTGAGCGACTGTTTGGCGTGTGACAGCTGCGTGACTGCAGAGGAAGGGGCCCGGGTTTCCCAGCAGAACGCCAAGGACTTTTTCCGAGTTCTGAACCTCAATAAGGTATGGCATTGGGGCGTCCCCGAGAGCCAGGCAACTGCCACCAGAGTGCATGCGATTGGAGGACCACGTGTGTGTGTGATTGTGATGCAAGTGAGGAGTGAGGGTGAACGTGTGAGAGTGTGTGTGACCCGAGTACACGTGGATGAGAGGTGTTAGAGCAGGGGTGTGAGTGTGAACAAGAGGTGTGAGCCTGGTGTGTGAAGGACCAGCAGTGTCTGTGTGAGTCAGGGCTGTGTGTGACATTAAGCTTTGTTTCGGAGGCTGTGTCTGTCTGACTATGTTTGGTCATGCCCTATAAATGGTTAATTTGTGTTTTATTTCAACTCTTCACATGTATTGATATAGTGCTGTTAAAACTCCCATCTTGTTTTTTCTCTTACTTTTTTTCTTTTTAATCTAAAAAAATCTCTTGACTTTATTTTGTAGCCTTTTCGGTCGTGGTTCCTTCCCTTCCTTGACGGCAGCTGCCAGTGTCTGTCCTTTCTTTGATCGTTCACAGAACATCTGTTCCGTTGTGTTGGTTTTGATTCTCTTAGGAGGGACCTTTCTGGCGGTCCTCTCCCGTCCTCCCCACACCCGTGCCTGCTTCTGCTCTCTTTAGAAATGTGATACCTCAAAGCACAAAGTGCTGGCAGTGTCTGTGTGTCCCCAGTCTTTGCCTTATTTTGCTGCTAAATTCAACCTCAGCGTGACCGATGCATCCCGAAGACTTTGCGGCTTCCTCAAAAGTCTGGGTGAGTTGACTGACGTCTTGGGAGTGGGTGGCAGCCCTCTTCTCCCTCAGATTTGTGTTTCACGAGCACATGAGGGAATAGAGACCGTCAGAGCCTGGCCTATGGTGTGTGAAGGGATGATCTGCCCGCAGACCAGTGTCTCACTGGGGGGCTGTGGCCTGGCTGACTGAGGGGTGGGGGAAACTCGTGCCTGGAGTGACCTAGACGCACTTCGGACAGAAGGACCTCCAGGGAGGGCCTCTGCTGTGAGCCCTGGGACAGGAACGAGGACAGTCCTGAAAAGATAGCTGTGTTTCAGCTTTTGCAAAACTCGTGGCTCCTAAGCTCCCCATGCGTGGTGCTGAGTTCCATGTGTGAGGTGGTGTCTACACAGCCCAGCAGCCCCAGCGCCCAGCTCGTCGGTTCTAGGAGTGGTGAGGGAGAACTTGGGCTTTCTGAGACTAGTCCACTGGGATCACGGTCAAAGATAAAATGACTCTTGAGACGAGGCCTCATGGTACAGAGGCTCAACCTGCCCAGTGCTGCGTGGCCCTTCCAGGCTCCTGTCTACAGAGCGGCCCTCTGCCTGATGCTGGCCTGTGGCGCTGTTGTCCCTGTGTGCTGTGGAGGCCTGAAACCAGCCTAGTTTTACCCAGGACCAAAGTATAAGGTGCAAAAGTGTTGATGAGGAAGGCCCTGTTTTTGAAGGACTAGGAAGGGCTTTATCAAAATCTATACCATGGAATGTTTTGGCACTAATGGAAACAATCTCCATTAAACAGCTTTCTTAAGGTGCTATTTTACGATGTGCAATACGTATTCCTTTTTAAAAATAATTGCTGCTTTTAAGACTTAGGCTTGCTGTGATGTTTATTACAGTCATTGTCGTGTAATCGCAGTGTTACTGTCACAAAGAGGTCCCTGCGTGTATATGTTCTGGCTTGTTCACGTATATTAATGAAAGTGTAACTGTGAAGGGAGGTGGCTAGGTTCACAGTCACAGCCCTTGTCAGTGGTCTCAGGGTCTGCAAGCTGCTGCCTCAGGGATTGAGTTTCTGTTGGTGATGGAGAAGTTTTGAAACAGGTGGTGGTGTTTGCATAATTTGGTGAACACAGCTGTCATTGAATTTCACACAGAAAGATGGTAGAAATGGTAGTGTTTTCATGTATATGCATATTTCACTACAGAATTTTCTAAGAAATCAGATTAGTTTGACATTTTAAGACCACCTTAGAGTTATGTCCAGCCAGGCAGCCTAGCATGGTAGTTAGTTACTGCAGAGCTGCTGCTGCCCATCCCACCTGGAAGGCTCCCTGAGCAGGTGGCTCAGAGTACACTGGCCCTTCACGTGGCCCCTCAGTTTACAGACAGCCCCGTGAGGCAGTGTGTACAGACTGCGTGTTGACATGGACATGAAACGTGCTTGCTGGCTACAGAAAACACACTGAGAGTAAGCTCTGTACTTAAGCCTCGGTACCGTGGTAGAGGCCTGTGGAGACCATGTTCAGGGAGAGAGGCCTGGGGCCCTGTGTACAAGGAAAGAGGCCTAGAAGGCCACCTTCAGGGAGAGGGACCTGGGGGAGGGTATGTGGCCGTGTTCAGGGAGAGGGGCCTGGCGGGGCCGTGTCACATGTGAGTCCTTGCACATCCAAGTACCTGCCACTTTTCCATCTGTGCAGCCCTAGGCCGTCTGGGCTCACCGTGCTCCTTGGCCCCCATTCTTCCTGATGCCGTGGTTCAGGAGATGGGCCATCGTGTGAGGGCCACGGAGTGTCCTTAGCTGTGCTAGGCACAGACCCCCTCCACGGCCAGAGCTGACCCCCCTCTTCACAGGGGTGCACTACGTGTTCGACACCACAATCGCTGCTGATTTCAGCGTCCTGGAGAGCCAGCAGGAGTTTGTGCGGCGCTTCCGGCAGCACAGCGAGGACAGGCGGACACTGCCCATGCTGACCTCTGCCTGCCCAGGTGAGAGCAGACACAGGCAGCCCCGTTCTGTGCCAGTTGGCCTCGGCCGGGTGTTCAGTCTGTCACCAGCTGTTGGCTGTGGTGGTTTGGGGGTGAGATGGCAGCTGAGTTTACATTCTTAACTTCATTCAGTGGTGGGCCTGAAGATTTTGAGACAAACATTACTCACTTAATTTTAACAGTCCATTTTCTCTCAGAAGCCCTGTACTGGAGGCACAGGTGGCATCTCTGTGTCCTTGCTAGGGCAGGGCAGGGCAGGGCAGGACCACGTTGTCCTCCTGTGCTCCCAGGAAGGACATCAGCCAGTTCCATGAGGTCCAGCATGCAGAGGGCATGTGGAGAGGTGCCCAGCCAGGGGTGAGGCTGGGCCCAGAGAGGGTACAGGATGAGAATGGGGCCACAGGCTGTGCATGGGACACTGAGCCGGGGCTGGCACCAGGTGAGAGCAGGAGCCCCCCTCTGGAGGCTCAGGCTGCCCAGTGTCCATTCCCCTCTCTGTCTCACTTCCCTGGCCTGCTGTGGTGTCACGTGTCCGGTGTCTTCTATGGCCACCCTTGGTCATCAGGTCTGTGGTGTGACAGTGCAGATTTGGCCGCTGCCAGCACTGCCCAGGGCTTCCACTGGGCAGTCTCGTGGACTGTAGGGGAGGAGGTTTGGGGGACAGCCCGTCATGCCCTGGTGGAGTGGGATGAGAACCAGGCGATATCCTGATGGTGAGTCCATCCTCTTCCCCCAGGTTGGGTCCGGTATGCTGAGCGGGTGCTGGGGAGCCCCATCACCCCCCACCTCTGCACTGCCAAGTCCCCCCAGCAGGTCATGGGCTCCTTAGTGAAGGACTACTTTGCCAGACAGCAGGTAAAGGGCCTCTTCTTGTGGGATCAGGCCCTCGGCTCCGCAGGACCTGGGAGCGGGGGTGTGGTCATCCTAAAGGGCAGGTGCACCTCCCCCCTTGTCGTGGGTGTTGGGGTCAAGGGGAAGGCCTGAGCTTCCTGTTGCCCCTGGTGTCTGTGCTGGGGGGCAGGGCCTGCATGCCCTGGGGCGGTCTCAACCTCTGACATCCCTTCAGTACTGACTAAATACAGACCTGCTCTTTGCCTGTAGAACCTCTCTCCAGACAAGCTCTTCCACGTCATCGTGGGCCCATGCTACGACAAGAAGCTGGAGGCCCTGCGGGAAGACATCCATGGGGCCTCGACCAGCGTGCAGGGCGTGGACTGCGTGCTGACGTCGGGTAAGCCCCACAGCGGGGTCTGTGTGCTGGGGGGGGCACTCGGCTTCCTGAGATGGCCGCAAGCCGTGCTGAAGGAGTCTGAAACTGAAGGGGGCCAGTGAAGTCTGGAGAAACCAGGGGCCGGCTGGAAACAAGACCCCTTGGATGTCCTTGATGCTCTCCCATGCGCCTGACCAGGGCTGCAGCCCGTAGTGCTGACCTGGATAGCAGTGAGGAGTGGCCATCACCTTGTGGGCCGGGGCAGGCGTGGTGTGTGAGGCCACCCGCACAGCGTAGGGGAGCCCACGTCCCACACGGGGCAAAGGGGCCTGGCCCAGGAGTCCTTTCAGGGAAAAGACCCACTGAGCCTCAGCCCAGCTATGCTCTGTGGGACTGTTGTTGGTCCCTGTGTGAAAGGAGGGGTTGGTGAGGTGTGTTTCCCTCAGAGTCTTCCCTGGGAGACAGCTCAACGTCCTTGCCGAAGGGGGAGCTCACAGTTTACCAAGGTCCCTGTGCCCATCGATGCCATGCCCTGGGATAGACCACACAAGGATATCTCATGACAGCTGTCCACCTCCCTTCATGTAGGATGTTGCTAGGGATGGACTAGCATAGTTGTCCACGCCCCCACGGGTGACACCCCATGACACAACTGTCAGTGTCTCCTCACAGATGAGACCCCTTCCCCTTGTGTGTCATATCCCCTGATAGCTATCCAGGCTCCCTCACCTGCAGCACCCACTGACAGACATGGCCTTCCACACTTCCCTATCCCCTCACACGTGACACCCCTAACGTGGCAGTCCCCACACCCTCATCCGCACCACCCCTGGCCTAACCATCCATGTGCCCTCGTCTGTGTCAGCCCTGGCCTGGCTGTCCACATGCCCTTGTCCACCCCACCCCTGGCCTGACCACACACCCTCATCTGTGTCACCCCTGGCCTAACCATCCATGTGCCTTCGTCCGCGTCACCCCTGGCCTGGCCGTCCACGTGCCCTCAGGGTCCTTTGTGTTTTCTGTGTGTCTGCAGGTGAACTTCTACAGATCATGGAGCAGAGTGACCTCTCGGTGAAGGAGGAAGCTGTGGACACTCTGTAAGTGGCCTCTAGGGTTGGCCATTATTGGACAGGAGGAGTTGTGTGTGAGCCTGTGCCACCTCGTGGTCCTTGACAGCAGGAGGACACTTGTTAGAGCACCTGTTCCCTTAGGGCCCTCGGTCCCCTTAGGCGCATGTTAGACGAGGGCAGGATGGGGGCACAGCCCCGACGGAAGGGAGGAAGCCTGGTGGGCTTCCACGGTGCTTCGTCCACCTGTCGAGGTCCAGACACCTACCGAGCAGGCACCACCGCGTCTGAGCCGCCTGCATTCTGAGGTCTGGTCCTGCCGTCTTGCTTCTGGGCCACCTGATTGTGTGCCTGACGAGAGGCTGCATCTGTGGGCCGACTGCTGGTGGAGAGGGCGATGTGTGTCCCCCATGAGGAGACTGAGGTCACTGTGCTCCTCATCTGCCTTCGTGCCGTGTGCAGGTCTCTGTGTCCCACATGGGGACAGGGCTGTTCTCAGGGCACCAGGATTACAGGACTTTGGGGCCGTGTCTCCTCTGTCCCCTCAGATTGGTGGTGAGTGAGAGCTAATGGGAGTCATTCTCAGGCAGGAGCCTGAGAGCACCAAGCACAGCATCCCCAGGGGACCCCGCTGCACATGGCCTGCCCTCGGCTGCACCTCACCGTCGGCCCCTGTGCTGCCAGCACGGCTCCCACCTGCATCACGTTTGCTTGTCGCCAGGCCCCTCTGCCCCTGAAAGGGTTCATCTGAAAAAAGCTAGTCGGAAGGCAGTGCGTGCCATGGGGCCCCGCTGCCTGGGCATGGCCCTGGTGGGGCTGGTATACTGATTCCCTGAGTTCTGGATTTGAACTTAGAGCGTAGAAAACACTGAAGGATGCTCTCTCTTGGGGGCCCTCACCAAGGAGGGGGCCTCACCATGACCCAGGGAGGTGCTGTGGGTCCATGTCTGCATGTAAGAGGACACCTCCTCTCTGCAGTCCCAGGATTGGGGCAGCCTGAATTTCACATGGACTCAAACCTGTGAAGAGAAGATTCTTCCTGCAAGCATGGGGGTCTCTGCGGCCTCAGGTGTCCGGTCCACACTCAAGGCCGCACCAAGAACTGGCCTTTTTTTTGCCTGTCAGGTTTGGGGACTTAAAGGAGGAGGAAGTCCAGCGGCATGATGGCACCAGCTCAGATGGGTACCTGGCCCATGTCTTCCGGCACGCGGCCAAGGAGCTGTTTGGGGAGGACGTGGAGGAGGTCACTTGTCGGGCCCTCAGGTGCAAGGGGACTGTCGCTGGGAAGCTTTCTGAGCTGGTCGCATGGGGCCAGATGGGAGTGTGCCTGGGTGTGTGTGTGTGGACACCTGTGAGCATGTGCATGTGTGTATATGTGCCTTTGGGTGTAGGGAGGAGTGTATATGCCTGTGAGCATGTGCACACACCTGTGAGTGTGTGTGTGGGGAGAGGTGTACATGCCTGTGCACCTGTGTACACGCCTGTGAGCGTGTGGGGAGAGGTGTACATGCCTGTGCACGTGTGTACACGCCTGTGAGCGTGTGGGGTGTACGTGCCGGGGGGAGGTGAGGTGGATGCGCCCATGAGTGTGTGTGGGGTGTACGTCCCACTGGGTATGTGCGCCTGTGTGTGTTGGGTGTATGTCCCTGTGAGTGTGGTGATGGGATGGGTGTATATGCCTGTGAGCGTGCTACTGTGTACGTGTGCTTGTGTACACACCTCTGGGCCGTGGGGGTGTTCGTGCGTATGTGTGTGTGAGCATGTGCACACGCATGTGTACAGACATGGGTGTGTTCTCTTACAGTGTCTCCTTTGTGCTCTAAAACCCTCGTTGTTTGCATTTTATTTTATGTTGGTTTGCTTACAGAGTTCATCCGCCTTACGTTTCACACTATTCTTCATTCACACGGGGTTTCATACAGCTCCTCATGCGTTCTGTTTTCTAAAATTCATCACCACTGGACCTTGCTCGTTACCCTATCTTTTCACCCGGCTCCGTCCTATTGCCTCCCCCCACTGCCCACCCCTTCCCGCCCCTCCTCTCCTGCCCCCTCCCCCTTGGGTTCCTAGGCATGTTTTGCTTGTTTATGCTGGTTTCACAGTAATGGTCTCAGGCAGTATCTGTGCTCAGGAGCCTCAGTTCTCCACAGCCTGCCTTCTGCTTGTCCGCACACTGCTTCCTTGGAGCCAATGGGAATTCTCTCCTCCACACGCTGCCTGAGGCCTGCATAGTCTCTGAAGCTCTTACTGGTTCTGCAGGAACAAGGACTTCCAAGAGGTCGTCCTGGAGAAGAACGGAGAGGTGCTGCTGCGCTTTGCTGCTGCCTACGGCTTCCGTAACATCCAGAACATGATCCTGAAGCTGAGGAAGGGCAAGTTCCCGTACCACTTCGTGGAAGTTCTTGCATGTCCTGGAGGTGAGCAAGGGGCCAGCAGGCGGGCAGGTCACTCCTGCAGTGCTCGGAGCCATGCTGGGCGGACACCTCACTCCCATGGCCACAGCTCCGCAGCATGGATACTCCTCGGTGTGCAGCCTTTCCAGACACCTTGACGGTCCTGCTCACGTGTG